TGAGTACATGAAAATGAATTATTAAGAATTGATATCATATTATGAATATTTGTCAAACAATATATTGTTTTTGTTTTGTGCTCTTACAGTAGTTAATGGCAGAAAATTCAGCTTACAATTATCGAATATTTATTTTATTATGAGACTATTATAATCATTTTCAAGAAATAAAATAAATAAATCGCCTATGCATACAATAAGGAATAAATATGCTACAAAATAAGTTTATATTCAAATATTGAAAATTTAATATTTTTCACATTAAATATATAACAATACCTTTCATCAAACTCTTCGATAAATTTTTTATTATTTACAATAAATTACTTCAAATAAAAATTCTCATTTACTGAATGTGGAAGTTAATGGAAATTGATTAAGATATAAAATATTGTTATTATTTGTGCAAACATTGCAAACGCCTAAAGTCAATATAAATTTTCTCCAATTATTAAATCTTTTTTTTTTTAAATACTTTTATTTTTAATTTATAACATTTGTTTTCACAAAAGATTATGATATTATGAAAATTAAGATTAATTTAATTCAATTACTGGCTAAATCAACATTAATTACTAGAATAAATATAAATCTTGATAAATCGGAATCTATGAATTTAATGGTTATTTCAATAATCCTTTATGCATGTGCATACGTGTGTGTAGATATAATCGCCGTTGGTATTTAAATAACGATTCATGAAATTCGTTTTATTAATGTATCGAATTGCAATCATAAAAATCAATTTATATAAATGCAGCTGCAAAAAAAATTAAAAAAACAAACAAAATTTTCATGTGAAACTTAAGAGCTTTTAATTCAGTTCCTGTTATTATGAAAAATCAAATTGATTGTTATTAACTTATTTATTGTTATGTGGCAAATAATCTTCGTACAGATTTATATTATTTATATAATAAAATTTATTCAAATTTCGTATTATTCATCGAAAAGATTATTTCAACTTATCTAGGTTTATTCGCGTTTCTTGCTCTTTTATACAGCCGAGTCATATAAATCTAAAATAAAAATGATAAAAACTATTTATATAATCTAAATTTGTAGTAATTTATTTGTAATTCCTAATTTCTTTTATTCCATTAAATAATTGATTTCTAGAGTAACTAGTATCATTTTAAGTTTTTTTTTTTTTTTTTTTTTTTTTTTTTTTTTTTGATGTTATTTTATGATTATGTTAATTAACTTAAAGAAATAGAGAATTGTGCAAAATTATTTTTTATGAATATTAACATTCTTCTTATATAATTATGCTTTAGAAAGAAATTTTATTATTCCTCTGAATGATCTCAAACACATTTGAAAACTCTACTAAAACACGTATAACAATTTTATATTTAAACAGCTGAAATAATTTTAATTTTGCATTATTTTGTATTATTTTTTGCAAATTGATTTGATTTACAAGTAAAGAATTGCATACAAAATTATCTCTCAACTTTGTTCTATATTTTTCAATATTATTGATTATTCCATATTATTTTTCAATATTAATTGTTTAACCGTATTTTCTCTTTGTTGGGAAAAATATCAACTTTTTAATGCTCGTATTATTACATTGAGTTTGATTTATGTTCATGTAAACTTGAAATTTTAATACTTGCAAAGATAATTTCACTACATTTTTATTAAATCTTTTATTAAATTATATTAAATTTTGTTTTGTTTTGTTTTGTTTTTAATAACATTTTTTGTTTTTCATAATTTATTTTATCACTAGATATATGTGTTTACTTGCTAGAAAAGCTGACGCCACACGCGTACACCTGTGAATCAATCCAATTTCCATTTTTTTACACTCTGGATAAGCGTAAAAACGAATATCGTAATATTTCGAAATACTTCGCCCTACTAATTTTCTTTCATATCTTTTTTATAGATTTGAATTTATTTTATCGGCTTTTTTTTTTATCGGAAAATTCGGTAAAACATTAATGCGAAATCATTATTTTAACGATCTTCAATTACAATGGTAATCATTTGATTAAAATATTCGAACAAAAAAAAAAAAAAAAAAGAAGAAAAAAATTAAAATGATAAATTCTTATAATGATCAATTTTCTCATTACTTGAATATTTAAAATCTCATACTGATAGTTTAAAAAGTCTTGTGTAATACAAAATAATGACATCTTCGACTCGATGAGCAATAAATAATGCAGCGAGCAAAATCTCTTTCAAGCTATACATAATTTCAACAATAAATGATCCTTTTGGACTATTAACATTTTGTTCCTCAGGCATCTCTCGTTAATTCTCAACTCGGCCGCAAAATTATCCTCTCGTAATTTTTCTCAGAAAACTTGTCACAACGAGAAATGCAAATAATTGATCATTAATTTTACGTTTTATGCGCTTTGTCCGTCCAAGTATAAAAAAATACTTTACACGGAATACGCTACGTACAGCATAATGACGTGATAACATCGAATCGATGATGTGGATATTAATATAAAAAAAAAAAAAAAAAATTAAAAAAAAAAATAATTAATTAAATATGCAAATAAATAGATAATTCTTGACATTTATAAAAATGGGAATTAACTTTGGTTGGGATGTGTTGGGGGATGGGAGTAACGTTGAACAAAAGATTTTCCAAACTGCCGGATAAATAAATTATACGAGTTACTCGTGTACGACTGATTGGACAATACTTCGGGCGAAACTCAGCAGGGCCCACCATTAATTTACAGCTTAAGAAACAAAAATTGTCTTCTTTCTTTTGTTTTTCTGTTTTCCAAGCGATTTTTGGCCGTGAGGTCAAATAAATGCCAAATCGCAGGAGAAAATGTAGGTAAAATAGTGGGCAGAGTGTCGAGAGGACGACGTGGTTGAGCGGCATCGGTGGCGGAGGTGGCGGAGATGGCATCGACGACGACGACGACGACGACGACGACGACGACGACGACGACGATGACGACGACGACAGCGGGAGCGGTGACGGGAGCGGTGACGGGAGCGGTGACGGCGGCGGCGACGGCGGTGGCTGCAGCAGCGCCCCTGTCGTGAAGTTGCGAAAGGTCCGGAGCAATTCCTCCAGCGAAGAGAAAACGGCGTTTTGGGTGCCGTCGTCGTCGTGAATTCGGCTTCTTGAGCCACGCGGGTACATTCGTTTATGCCATTTACGTGGGCGCGTGTGCGTGCATTGGAAGGATCGCCGTAGTCATTGCGAATGAGTTGTGCGTTGCAAGCGCGACGTCGTCGTGGACCAATCCGGAGACTCCACGTAAAAATTGTCGTCGTGCACGTCGGGTTTGCGGAGGCGGTGAGGATTACGTGCGCATAGACATTAGCATTCGTACTTTATTTAGCCAAAAAGTGATAGCCCCGGCAGAACCGAGGTGACGTTAGACGTGTATTGGACGTGTTGGTATATTGGATTGAGCGCGTGAGGAAGTCGAGCAGGTTCACTTCCATCGTACGAGTGTACCGAAAATGCAGAACATGCCGATCGGTGAGTAGCAATGCCGGACGCCTCTGACATTATTATTTTCATCGTTATATCGAGCGCCGGCTTTGTCGCAACTTAGATGGATACAATGGATTTTCGTAGGTTTTAATGATGATGTTGGTGATGGCGGGGGGGGCGGAGGGGGGCGCCCTTAACACCTGGCGTACTGCCTCTAATAGCACCGGTATGCTGAGACTGATTTTATGTTTTTGTGTGCCTTTTTATCGCGTTCGATAGATTTTTCGCATTGCTAATTGTCAGATTTCATCCAAATTGTTTCAAATTCTTATCTTGTCTCGAATTAATGGTAAAAAAGAAATAATAATAATACTCGTATTGGGGCATTGCTGGCGTTTGATGACCAATAAATGGTATGTTTTCATAATTTCATGGCGACTCTTTATGTCGAATAGGTGTGATATTGATGCTGTTGGGTATTGCTGGAGTACAATGTATGTATCCATCGGACTCGGATGTGATCGACCTAACGATGAATAATTTCGACAAACGTGTTCTGGATGACCACAGTATATGGATCGTTGAATTTTATGCACCATGGTGCGGACACTGCCAGCAATTAAAGCCAGAATACGAAAAAGCTGCTTCGGCGCTTAAGGTATATCATCTTTTGATAATAAGTTGGTTTTTCATTTTGTTAATTATCAAAAATATCATGATTTTTTCCAATTTTAGTATTGCGACATTTGCGGGTTATGATTTTGTTTTCTTGAATTTAAATGACAGATACGATTGCACATTTGAAATTTTATACATTTGAAATGACACGATTGGGTATACGAATGTAGATTATAGTTGGTTAATTGTACAATGTAAGTACCAAGATAGTTGTGTCTCCGGTGAATATGTTTTTATTATCAATGCAGAGATGATAAGGTATTCTAGTCCGGTGAATAGAAGGTTTTGTAATAGTTTGTATTAAAGAATTTGATAAAATCTGGACAAATTAAATTTGGATACAAATTTAGTGCTATTTAATTTAATAACAATCGAATTGCATTAACATTTTGCATCCTAATACGGTCGATATATGGTGCAATAAAATATTTTATTAATATTAAAGACAAATTGTCCAAATTACACGCACATTGGTGCGATTGTTTATTAATATGTCAGGGCAGGCGTAATATTATCGTTAAAACGTAGCGTAGCAAACGATAAAGGCTGATATTATCATCGCTCGCTAATGCTTTTCTATAAATTGGATGTTTAGGGTGTCATTAAAGTCGGAGGTGTTAACGCAGACGAGCACAAGTCTTTGGGTTCGAGATTTGGGGTACGTGGTTTTCCAACGATCAAGATCTTTGTCGGAGATAAAAGCACACCGGAAGACTTCAATGGACCCAGAACTGCCGCAGGTTTGATAGAGGCAGCCTTAAACGCTGCCTCTCAAATGGTACGTGCCAGATTAGGTGGCAAGAAGAGTAGCTCCAAATCACAGGGGTCGAAGGATTCCAAGGATGTGGTGGAACTTACCGACGATAACTTTGACGAATTGGTCCTGAATTCCGAGGACATGTGGCTCGTTGAGTTCTATGCTCCTTGGTGCGGCCACTGTAAGAATCTTGCACCCCAGTGGGCCAGTGCTGCCTCCGAACTTAAAGGCAAAGTTAAGCTCGGTGCTCTAGATGCTACCGTACACACAGCTAAGGTAAGCTTTATCCGGTTGTATATCGGTCGCATCAGTGATTATTATTATCTTCAAATTTCTTGGCCGCGTTAGCATTGACGAATAATGCAATCCATCGTAGAAAAAATACAGAATTTGCGGCAACGATATTATCACCAGCAGACCGTGTTTTATCGATTTGTCGAGATATTGTTGATTAACTTATGAAATATTTATTTGAATTAACTAAAATATTTCATGCAAATATTTCAGCATGAAAACCAACACTTTCACTCTCACTTTCATCTTCTTTCAAAAACGAATGCACTCATTGCGATTTAAGAAATTTAATCATAATATCGCGCGTTAGAACAAAATTAGACCAAATATTATCTCGGAATTAAAAAAAGCTCTATTCAAAATTCTTCAAAATTATAATTAACACACGGGGATAATCGATTTCCATTGATAACGATTCAACCTTTGATTTATAGAGCAGCAAATACGAAATCCGAGGCTACCCGTCGATCAAGTACTTCGGCCCAGGCAGGAAGACCCCCGAATCGGTTACCGATTACGACGGCGGCCGCACGAGCAGCGACATCGTCAGCTGGGCACTCGACAAGCTGTCCGAGAACGTGCCAGCACCAGAAATCACGCAGATCATTAACGAAGAAAGTCTGAAAGAAGCCTGTGAGAACAAGCCGCTCTGCATCGTGTCGGTACTGCCGCAACTCCTCGACTGTCAGTCCGAGTGTCGCAACGAATATTTGAAAACTCTGTCGAAACTCGGCGATAAGTTCAAGCAGAAGATGTGGGGGTGAGTCTATCAGAATTAACAGTTATCTTGGTAAAAAATGGAAATGCCCAGGTGGAGAAGTTTGTCGCGCACGTTAATACAAAATTCGTTATATTTTTCATTCGTTTTAAGCCTGTGACAATTGATAGACAGGCATCCTAGAGTTTTGGGCAAACGATATTGGAAAATTGAATTTAAGAGAGAAAATGACGGAAAATATTGAAATACGGTTAAGCGAGATTTGGCTCGATTTGGCTCGATTTGGCTCGATTTGGCTCGATTTGAGTATTCATCGTTGTATTTTTGATAGCCGTGCAATGCGTATGATAAGCCCCAAAGTGGGGACCTTAACGTTAAATTTGCTATTATGTCATACGCTCAACATTCGATTTCAATAATATTGCAGCGAGAAGTCGTACTTTTTCAACTAAATGGATGTTGGATGTGTGGCTAAGCTTTAAAGCTACATTGTACTATAAAATATCCATTAATCGTTAAAAATCGTGTGAGCAGGAACTATCGCAAACATAAGGGGATAACTTGCGACGATATTATCATTGTAGATGGGTGTGGTCAGAAGCTACCGTCCAACCTTTGATCGAAGAAGCCTTGGAAATCGGTGGATTTGGATATCCTGCCCTCGCAGCAGTCAATATCAAGAAGATGAAGTATTCCCTCCTCAAGGGTAGTTTCTCGTACGACGGCATTCACGAATTTCTGCGTGACTTGAGCTACGGTCGTGGTGGCACAGCTCCATTAAGGACCAAAGAGCTGCCCAAGATCTACACGACCGAGCCTTGGGATGGCAAGGATGCAGAGCTGATCATCGAGGAGGACATAGACCTCAGTGACATCGACCTCGATGAAAAAGACGAGCTTTAAACGAGAGGGAAGCAAGCAGACTGAATACACGTTTCTTTCTTTTTTCTTTTTCTTTTCTTTCTTTTTTTTTTTTTTTTTTTTTCTTTTGTTGTTCATTTTTCCCGATATTTTGACGTTTTTTTCTTTTATATGTTGTGCGTGAATATTAGTGACGCAAGTCTGTGAGATTGAGATATGCCGAAAATAATTAAAGCTTTTGGCGTGTGAATTGTGCGTTACTTTGTTCGATACTTGGAAGTGGATCATTGGTATAACTAAATCAATATTCTTTATTTAAACTTGTATCTGTATTTTACGATAAATAATTTTTACTCACGAAAATAATTTAATCGTAGTATTAAAATAATTAACTATAATTATTGAATTATCATTAATTCGAGTGAATTTTGACGAAGAAATTGTACATAGTGAGATTTTGAATTCCAAATGACCCGACGTGAAAAGTTATTGTATTAAACCGAATAACAATTTATTGTGTTTGTTGTATATTTAAATATTGATGATTTAAAATTTCATAAAACTTTCATAAGTTTATGTTTCAAGTTTATATTGCAAAATATTCCTTAGTATTAAGAAAACCAGTGAAGAATTTATGTTACTCTGGCGATTCAAATTCCGTTCTTCCTAAATTTCAGAACACGATACAACTATTTATAGACAACTTAATGTAATGTTTAAACATATGCCTTGCACATTTTTTAACTCGAAGACAAAAAAGAAAAAGAAGAAAAATGAAAAAAAAACACCAAATAATGCTCAACGTTTTTATTATTGAATGTACTTCTTATTTATATGCTTTCCTATACTTGCTTCTTGTGCACATCAAAAGCATATCACGGAAGCACTATAAATGCATTATGATCTATCGATAGAAGCTGTCTCTTGATCATTTAAACTACAACATGGAAAGTACATACTTGAGCGTGCAAAATGTCTTATAAAATCAGATATAACTAACTACCTTAAGCTAGTTGTATAAGACGATTTGTATAATAATTCATTGGCGCGTGAGCTAGAAAAACTTAAACCTTCATTAACTGCACAGCTTTTCCACATTGAACATCATGTTGACTTCCTTCGGGCTGACGAGGCTATCAATGCTCGCTCACCTCGATATTGGTATTTCTATTGAATGCCATTAATTGCTTCATTATAATATATGTGTGCGTGCGTGTGCGTGTGATTTTGCGCTGGTCATACCTATAAAGAATGATAATCCTTTGATAATGGAAAGATACGTCTCACGATCGCGTAAGGACTATTGACTCACTCAATGAGTCTGTAAGGATCACGGATACAGCGACAAAATTCAGTTTACGTAATAATACGAGATTGACACGTATAATGTGTAGACAAAATATGCTTTTGCTTGAAATTACAATTTGGCTACTACATTTAGATGCGATAAAGAATTACCACATACAAAAATCGTCAATTAGCTTATTTTATAGGCGCCCAACAAACGTAATTACAAGTATTAGTATCTCGTACTTATGAAGCCGAGTAATTTGCTCGATAACAGGTGAACTATTCAAACTTATGTCGGAATTTAGATACGATCGTTGTTGTTGTTGTTGTTTTTTTCTTTTCTTTTCTTTTATTATGTAATGGACGCGTTCGAGTATCGATTACACACATCTCTATAGATTTTTCTAGACAATTGTAAACGCGCTGACGCATATGCCGTGCAATGTTTAATGTGGAAGCAATCGATTATCAAACATATATCAACACCATCCATACGATTGAATCATCAGGTCCATTTCAAAGTACTAAAACACAAATAAGTTTATAAATAAAATTCCTTGTAATTGTCTTAGCATGTAAATAGAGGATAAATAAGGAGATAATATACTTTTTAAAAATATCCTTTCTATTAAATTGCAACTGCATATAATATGGATGACCGAGATCCACTTACGGTTATTTGTTATGCCGACACACAAATTTTTAAAAGTATATGTAAATTTTTATTTTTATCAATATTTGGCTGTCGCGCATCCTGTAGACGACACATTCTTCTCAACTACTTATATTTATATAAAAAATAAAATATGCTTTTAATTTTGTACCATGTGATTTTATACGATATCTTTCCCTCTGTGAAATAAAATATTCTAATGCTAATAATAATATTCTAATATAATAAATATTCTAATTGGGAGAAGTATTGGATAGATAGTCAATGTTTGAAATTGAATAATTTTATTGTAAAACAATTAAAATATTTTAATTTATTCATTGGATGATGATAATATAGGCTGTCGATGCGATTTTTCATTTTATATATTTATGATGGCACAGGCCACTTCCACTGATAATAAATAACTCATCGTCTCAAATATTTATCGAGACGCCTCTCGAGCATTTTCCAATCGACATTTCACAATTTTAAGATTGATTTTTCTTCTCAATAACCATTCTCTATCGTACTTTATATCGATTGTCTTATGATAATTCGGGGGAGCCATCGGGAAAAAACATGTGCAATTTAAAGAGCAAAATCTATATTCATTACATATCAGAATTCTCGTGACTTCGAGTTTGCAAATATTGACACTTGGAACCCTGAGGTTCGTGCATAACATTTATATTATTTGACAAAAATACATCGTCCCCTATCTTTATTAAATATCAACATTTTCGTAAAATTTTGTTCGTATACAATGTTCGTCTCGAATTTTAAACATTATTTGTACATACATACATACATACATACGTACATCATCGATACCCAAAAATATTTTTCTATTTCTTTTTCTTTAGCCGACTGTCTTCCAGCAAGATAAATTATACCATGTGATAAATAATCACATTGCATAAGAACGTTTATTACATCTTAAGTGAGCTTTTCTTTAATAAATAGTGCAAAAAAAAAAAAAAAAAATTTTGTCAACTAACGAAGATCAAACGCCAAAATTAAATTAAACAAAATTGCCGCATGAGAAATAAATTTCTTATATATTATTTTTAATAGTTAAATTTTTTAAGTGCCAAACGCGGTAACGTTTGTTGATTATGAATATATAAAATTTAATTTCAATTATCTTATTGCTTCAATGAACAAAGATATTTTTTATTCACATAAATAAAATTCCAAATGCCGATTTTATCAATTATCACAATATCTTGTGTTTATTAATAAAAATGTTTACTCAACGTGATTCAACATCTTAAGGCGTTTTTATAACATTACTTCACAATATAATTATTGTTAAATTGTAATATAAATACATTGAAATTAATAGAAGCCCGTGTTCGTTGATTCAATGTATAAATTACGATGGGTATATTTCTGAATTATTTTTCGCTTTAATTTTTATTCTTATAAGCTTGTAATTTAACATTTAATATTTCAAATTCCTTGGACTTTATTCCTTAAGGAGCTTCTGACGTTTGAGTTTTAGAAAAAAAAATTTCAATCACATAGATACACATTAGAGGACATACTTAATATTGACCAATCTTTTGCGGTACTTTACACATTGTTAACATAATGTAACAATAAATTGTCATTTTATTAAATACAAGTTTACTGTAAAGCATTTTGTCTTACTTCTTTTACCTACACTTTAATTTCATAATTTTATATCAGTTTTTCAATATATATTGCCATTAAAAATTATAAAATTACGAAACGCAAGTTTTATATATTATTTATAATAATAATAATGATTACAAAGAAGATGTTATTAGGCAAATATTTGTTAGTATGTGTGAAATTTAAGGAATTACGTATTGGATGGGACTATTGAAATGTCCTAAAATAGAAACACTAATAACTTATAATTTAAAAAAAAAATAGAAATTTTTTATTTTTACACTAATTTAATCGAATTATACTTATTCTTTAAATAAACAAATAAAATCCATTTTTTATATATTTATAATTTTTATAGTTAGAAAGTATGAAAAATATTAAGTAATGTATATTTTTAATGCTTTTATAAAATGAAAAGAAATTTTATTACAAAAGACGAATTAAATTAAATTAAATTTCTTAAAAAGCCCTTAATACGATGTGAAATAATTGTAAAAATTAATTATTACATTCTAGACAACTCAGGTTATAATCAAGAATTTTTATTATAAAGTAAATCAATATCATCGATGCGTACGGTTGTCGACAGATAAAAATTATTCTATGAATTTTTAAATATTGTCTTTACAGAATATAATGTTTCATTAAAAACATTTTCAGACTACTAAAAATATAATGTATATTAGGAATTCATTAAACCAAGTATGAACACGAAAATCATAAATTATCATAAATGTCGAATTGATGGAGATTAAATGATTTCAAGTGACGCATAATAAATTAAATAAAATATTTACCAATTTTATTATAAAATTAATTATTATAAATTGATATGAGCTATTAATATTATTAAGTATAAGAAAAATTCATTTACTGTATCATTCTATTAGACGGTAATTAAGTTAATTATACAATTTACATATAAATTTTAAAGATGTTAAAAAGATTAAAAAGTTGCTTATAGTATACATCTAAATTAAATTATAACAAATGGATTCACAAAATATTTACATATTCAAATAAACGAAGTTCTTTGTTGTGCGTTTCAGCGACATTTTTACAATTTACATAGCATTTTGTATAAAATTTGATATTAAAAAATATTTCCGACCTATTTATATTATCGTAACTATTATAAATTTCTATTTTTATTTTTTTTTTTTTTTTTTTTTTTTTTTTTTTACAAAACTCTTCAATAAATATAATTCACATATATGGATTATATCAGCAATATATTCTTTTTTTTTTTTTTTTTTTTTTTTTTTTTTTTTTTTTTTTTTAATTTCATTATAGAAAGTTGTTGTATTTATAATATTTACAAATGCTAAGATATGTTGTAAAGAGGCTATTAGAAATTAAAAATTCTTTGCAAATTGGATTTGTGGCACGGCAATATAAAATTGCAAAACTCTATATTTGAATTTTATTACAAATAGATTCAAATGATTCTTCAATATTTATTTATTTATTCTCTCATTAATGATCCATTCAATAATTCATTTTTAAACACATTTAAGAATGCTTATCAAATTCATAGCAAACATACTATATAAAGCAATCAATTTTTGCAGCATTGGAACAAAAATTACGCTAAAAATACCGTGAAGAACTTCAATAAAGTTATTGAGGTTAAATCCATTATTATTATCAAATAAGATAATGTTATAAAAAATTTTTCAATTTGCTGCTATGAATATTAGAAAATGATAGCTTTTTTATTTTCGTAAATATTTGTATCATAAACTTTTCCTTTTAATTAATTTTTTTTCTTATTCAACTTATCTTTTTCGGTAAATATTACTTTCGTGTTAATAATGGCATATAAGAATAGAATGAGATATAATGAGAATAATCTTTCAATAAATCAATACACATATTCTTGTTTAATTATTTCAACTTAACTCGAAAATTTGTCACAATATACTGAATATTTAATACAAATTTATGTGCAAATTACTTTTATTTATAAGACTAATAACTTATTTAAATAAATAGCCTATTGGCATAATATCGAAAGGTTGATGAACGACAGTAAATAGCAAAGCAAATAATATCAAATGTTTCTTGTTCTTTAAGGAAAAAAATTAGAATTATTTATTAAATATTTAACACTACTAGAAGACAACATAAGCAAAAATTTTAATTAATACCTATTTTATAAATCAATAATTGATGTCTGTCGCATATTTTAGACTAAACTTAAGAAAAGAAAAAATTAAAATATAACATATGCGCCCGTCTTTGTGTAACATTAATGTATCTTTTAAGCTTACTATTTCTTAATAATTTTAGAAACTTTTTTCTTTTATTCCAAAAATGAAACTTTAATTGTTATATCAATTGTTAATATTTTTTAAAAATTAAATTACAATACTTATTTACCGATAATACTAATAAGCGAGCGGCTCGAATGCAATTTTGTAAAATTTTGTAATCCATTTCATTAGAAATGGTATGTTTTATATTTCGAAATCGCCATTATGTAAAATTTCAAAAGAACGTTCTTTTTATTGGAACAACTTTTTAATGGATGATGGATTAAAAGCCCGATAAAATAATTTGCAATCCACTCGAGGTAGATTTCAAATAAAATATTTGAATTTTGATTGGTGCTTATTTAATATTTATTTCACCATAAAATACAAGTCGAATAGAAATTCTCAAATACACGAACAACTTCATCGGCCTATTTTTCAGCCGTAGAGTCTTGAGCTTGAGTTTACAAAATTAGGGCCCATTAATTGCCAACGGCGCAAATGCAAATGTTCAATTATCTTGGAGATCTTTTATATGGGCTAAGATGATAACTTTTAGGTAACAATTTAAACACTCAGACTATATGTCTTCTGTTGTCGCCCTAGTGCATTTCTACCGAATGTCGGCACGAGAAAGATAAATTCTAGGCCATTCTTCATAAGATTAACTCCAGATTCCACGGTTTTTTTACCTAAATCTTGAAAGCTGTTGAGCGTATTGCCAATGGACGCCTTCTTCTGGTCATATGTTGTGACGTAGGCGTGTCCCAAACGACCAGCCAAGTTCTGCAGATCCAAATTTATCAACATAAATAGAACAGTCATATAGTATGTGCTGTATCAACGTCTATTGTGCTATTTCTTGTATAATACAACTTGAGTGAATAGACGTTGATAAATATATACAATGTAATAAATTTACAAATCATCGTAAAACTTATCTATATGTTTAATAATCAATCTAAATACTCACTTCTGGCTCATTTGGCACATCTTCTAGGACAAGATGTAATGGTACAGCTACAGCCTATAATTCAAATTACCGTGAGATAAAATTGAATATACATTGATATTTAATATCAGTCAAAATTATTTTAACGACACATTCTTATATTAATATATTTAATAATATCAATAAATATTTTTCTAAAATAATTTTTTATAAAAGTGAAAATTTACCGTTTGGATAGTGAAGGAGACAAAATTGCAAAGTTAGAAATTTAGAAAATACGATTTAATAAATAATGACCGTTGGTGATTTTATTCAATAATAAAATAAAAATTTAATTTAAATGGAAATATCTTATGAGCTAAATTATTTTATCGATACTATAATAACAGCAATGGTAATTTATAATTTAATACTAATGATTTTAAATAAGTGTATGTAAATAATTATGAGAAGCCTTACTAATACTAATAAAACAATTATTACATAAATATAAAATGATATAATTATTTAACATTATAATATTTCGTTTTTATGTAAATTGCTATGAATTATAATTACCTGCTGCACATTCTGTATATCTTCAGTATCTAATGGATAACATGAACTCTAATAAAAAAAAATATTACATTTTTTATTACCATACGTACATATTTATATGTACACATATATATATATATATATATATATATATATATATTTATTTATTTATTTATTTATAATACATGTATGTAAAATAGTCGTACGTGCATATAGCATGTAATAATAAATCCACGTTAGGCATATAGAAATGTTAGCATTCTAGTAAGTATTAATAATTATTTAATTTATGATAGTAATGAAAATTCTAATAATACGATATAACAAAATAGCCATACAACAAATACAAAGTAATAATATTTATAATAAAAAAGGATATTAATTATATAACAACTTATTGGTAATTAGTGTAAAAGTGTATAAAAGATGAAAATTCATAATTGTAATTGTCTTGATTAAAGAATAGGTGAACATGAAACATTTGCATATAAAAAGAGAGAATATATTAGCAAATAAATACGTACCAAAATTACACTCTCGCAAGCGAAGAAGAGAAGAGTGACTGTAACAAGCATATTGACAACAATAATCAAGACTGGTATATTGAAAAAATAAACTCACCCAGTCTTTTTAGTTTAAAATTACATTTACAATTCCTACACGTGCTATTTATACGCAGCTCCTTCTAAAAATGGCTTTTTTATGCTTTTTAATTCAATTGCACTTAATTATCCATGGATGATAATTTATTTAACTAACAAATTTTTTTACATTCTGCTTATTAGTCTTATTTCAAACTTATTGTAGTTATAATAAAACAGTACATAAAATAATGATTATTTCAATTATACTTTGCTAAAATCCTTTCTAATCACATGATATTGACATATATTTGCTTCATTCGGTACCGATTTTAATACAAATTTATTTTAGTATCAAACGATATTGACAAAGAAATAATAAATCATAAGGTATTTATTTTCTTGGTGTTTTTAATTAACAGACAAAGTACACTGTTTGACGATTGAAATTCTTAAAATATCAATCAACGCTCTTTATGAATATTTATTATTATTGCAATTAATCAACAGCCACACGCAGTATCGAAATAAATTTCATTGCGTTTTCAATATTTTGATAGGATAGATATCATTTAATTGGAATAAAAACAGATGGTTAAATAAACATGCAAACTCTTTGATGTTTATCTGAAAAGTGTGCGTTTCTTAGAAATAGAATGCTGCATAAGCTCCTAGTATCTCTGCATCATCAATTTAAACAATTATAAATCATGCGATATAATAATAGAATTTGTAATTTAGAGGGAATATATATGAAAATTATTATCTATAAAAATTATTTTATGCATAAATTATATTTTTAGTCCTTTTTGACTTTTTGTATAAATGACAAAGATACTCGGATAGGGGATAAAATCGAATTATAAATTAAGAAATCGATTGAATAAAACAATACAAATCTATGAGTCGCTCCCGCTCTTCTCTCTCTCTCTCTCTCTCTCTCTCTCTCTCTCTCTCTCTCCCTCTAATTCAATGTGTCTTTATTCATGCCGATCACCAAAGATAAATAAAAATATAAGTATAAAAGCATGTGATAACATTTTTAAATAACACACGTCATTAATAAAAAAAGGAAAAATTTAATTTAAATTTCATCCGATTTCGTTGTACATACATTTAATTAGTTATGAAATAACTATCTTATTTAATTAGCTATCTTAACTAATTAGTTATGAAAAAATCTAATTTATCTCGACAATTTAATACATTTAATAATTTTTACAAAAAAAGTTATTCGTGAAATGAAAAGAACGATGCTGAACGTTGATGAAAATATCATAAAAATGACGTATAAATTACTATGTATTAACAAATATTTTAGAAAGAAAATTTCTTAAAGAAGTTGATATTTAATGTAAAATGATATTACTTTTCAATTATTTATTCTGAACGGTGTATACGTAAAAGTTATTTAGGAGTGAAAGTATTTTTTATTAATTAATAACAGCGATAATAATAATTGTCCTAATTTTTAATTAATGTTTATGCTTACGGTAATAAGAATCAGAGTTAGAAATAACATTTTCTATATTTCATTTCATATTTAATTAATATACAATTGAAATAATTATACGCAATATTATATGATATATATTTGATAAGTCATTACGAATTATTTATATTAAATATATTTAAATAAATTACAACCTAGGCTATTCAGCTGACATAATTATATTTATCGTTTAGATTTTTTTTAACGTTTATGAGCACAACTTAATATTTTAATTAATATTGTTTTAACATTTACTTAAATTTTTTATTTATATCTGACATTTTTTATTTATATCTATTATAACTTACTTATTTCATAACAACATATATCTAATTAATCTATTCTGTTTTTTTTTTATCAATTTAATCATTGTAAAGGAAATAAATGTTATTCTTGTAACAAAAATTTGACTTTTAAGATAGTTAATTCAGTATAGAATATAAATATCTTTTATATAATTATAAATAGAAATATAATTAACAATATGACTAATAAAAGTTTTGTAAAATTTTTATTTCTATAATATTTTTTTTTTTTTTTTTTTCAATAAATTATATATATATATTTTCAGAGTATTAATCACTCTATTATATGATATAAACATTGATATCGATTTCGGATGTAAAAGAATCTAAAGATAAATTTGGTTTAATGCAATTATGATTATCATTGCCATCGCCAATCTGCATCATTATCATCATTATTTCAATTTGATCGTTCAAATAATGATTTTGCTCCACCCAAATCGTTAACCTAATTTATAAGAACTCAAATCCCCATAGCTACTCCGCACAATGGGATTGTGCAAAAACTCTCATGGCTCAATTACTCATTGTCATAAATTAAAACCATCATCAATGGAGAACTTTTAAAATATTATAAGATTTTATTTCATAATTTTACAAAAAAATAATCTTTTATTATACAAATAGCAATGGGATATATAGATGATGCCATTGTATTATATTTATTTCTCTTTTAATCATCCGGGAAAGAAGAAATTTGCAGCTTAGTATTCAGTCTTGGTATATCAAGGCCGCTTATATTCAGAGGTAGTATCTATAAAAATAAAATAATCATTAGATTTTTTATGAAAAAATGTGAACATACCTAACTGCTTCGTAGATGGAAAAAATTATATTTCATCTATCCTATTGATATGCTTAAAAAAATAAATAACAAATCGTTAAATAAGTAATTCTGTAGGATTTACTATTTTATAAAATTTAAATATCTTTTATTAATTAATTCAAATACTTTTATGTACATGATATCTTCTATTAAATTCTATGTAAAATATTCTACAAAAAAATAATTATTACGACTTGAATAAATAAGTAATTCGATTGAAAAATCTACTCCAACGCTAAAAAAGGGTAGAATAAATATAATTTGCTTTTACATGTAAAATAATGGGAAAAAGTTTCTTTATATCATTTCATACGTATGAAATTATTACTAAATAAAATTTTATATTCATTCATTTAATATTCTGGCAATGGCATAGTGTAAAAATTAATGATAAAAAAAAATTTTTAATAAAATTTCGGAAATTAATTTAGCTTGGCTTACAAAATTCATTTTAACTTTCTGAAAATAAAATTTAGCTTACTAACCCCAAGTATATCGCCCAATATATTTAACGCAGAAGTTCCCTGTAAAAGAAAATTGTTATATTATATTTATGTACATGTTGAGAGTTAAATATGTGTAATTCAATTAATATCTTGGCTTTCTAATAAATGCATGGATGTTTTAAATAAATAAATAAATATATATATATATATAAAGTATTATGGTAAATAATCGTACATATCGTATACGCGTTAAATAAATCAGTAAATAAATAAGTAGATGATTTTTAGATAATGAAAGGAAGAAATGTAGGTAATGTTTATTCGCTTGGGTGGATGTCATTGTTAAAAAGTTTGCTTCGTGTGCTCATTACACTGTATTATCATTACCTACAATTACACTTTAATTTCAGTTTAAAAACTTACATTAATCAAAATTATTTTTAATATTACATTATAAGATATTAATTTTGTGTATGAACGACGCACGATTTTATCTATGCAAAGACATAATCTTGTCAACTATTAAGAGTAATTTAATAAAGAATTTATAATATATAAAATGATGTACTATATCAAATTGTTAAATTAAATATATCGAACCTTGTTCAATTTCACGTATATTATTTGTTCTTTGAAAGTCAGTTGTTAGTTAGTTTTTATGAGTTTTAAAGTTCCAAACAAGTATAAAAAAAACAATTGAATAGTGTCGTAACATTTGAATTTGTTTTGCTTTTGTATTACAGGTAAATTTATTATATTATATTCATTAAACATTGATTACTATTCCTATTTCAATGACTTACCAGTATTAAAGAAAATCCAATAAGTAAAAAGAAAATTGAAATTGGTTTCATGTCCATTTTCAAACTTTATTATTATTGATATTTTAATATTTTTAATTCGATTGATGATAATTCATAATTCTTTAGTATTTATATCCTATCCCGAAATGTAATAATAATTGTATGAAACAAATATTTTGTACCCAATTTCCATACTTATTCCAATAAACACTAAACTTGAATAAATAATTTTTCTTTAATTAATTGAAAAAATTATTATGCATGTAAATTGTATTATAATACGACAGCTATTTGAACATAAACTTTTGTATTATTGTTTTATGAAATATTTATTCATTATTACAATAATGTTATTGCAGCTGTTTATTTAAGCGTATTAATTTGCTTTTAATTTCCGGCACTTTGTAATTTATTAAGTAAATTAATATTATTCATAAAATTTTCAATTAATAATCAACTTGATTAATCGCTCTTAGGCTATAAAAAAGCTCATGGATGCATAAATGCCATTTTAATTGAATAATACATAAATATTATTATAATAAGATATCATCATTATTTCAGTTAATTTTCTTATAATTTCTTTAAATGCTAATTTTTAATTAATCGTTTCAAAGTAACACACTTTGAATAATATTGGCCATCCATGTCAAGATACATATTTAATTAATGTTTGCACGAATAAACGAATAAATTTGAATTATTTATACAGCAGTAAATTCAATTCGGTCAATTATATCTATACGTTGAGTGAGATAAACAATTTTTGAAATACTCGAAATTCGAAAAAGGAACATCACAGCTGTCTGCTGTGCTATCGAAATTTCAATTTTGAACGTGTCAGGTGAGGTTAGGCGAATGTTCGTCTGTCATTCATTGTATATGAGATGCTGAAGCTACGGTACTCGGAAATTCAAGATCGTAATTTTATATCTTAAGCATTTTTCATATAACATTGATAATTGTAAATATACTTTAGTGGCACTAATCATGTGATATTGAAATTTAAAAAATGGGTACAAAGACACTAACGGATATTCACAATGATTTGAAGCTTTTGATTACTGCAATCAGTGATTTTGAGGTAGTGTTTACGAATTAAAATAACTCAGCTTTTCATTAACTACATTATATATTATAATATATAATAGTTTGATTCATGTGTCGTAAATTTGAATTTGAATAAAAACGAAATATATACATATATACATATATATATATATATATATATATATATATATGTTATAAATGCTAGAAATAATAGAAAAGATTATTAATCTAAATATATATTATTTACTTTTTTTTTACTCTATCCTTGCCAATTTTCTATATTATTATTAATACAAAAAGATAATTTATTTCATGAAGGAAGGTGAAGAAGGCTTTCAAATTTGCGAACGCTTTGCATTATCTCAAATAAAGCATCATCGTTACTTGTCGGTTAACAGTCACGCAGTGAAAAAGGAAATTGAAGAGATAACTCAAAAATTTCTGATTCATGGAAAATATGATGTCGCTAGAGAATTTAAAGAGTCGATTGATTCATTTTTAACGACTTTTGATTTTGAGAGGCATCCGCAATACGATGTCCAATGGTCATTATTGTCATTACTATTGAATTTAGCTAATGAAACTAATAATTCTGAGTTGAGTAGTAGTTCCCAGCAAAGTAAAGATCGTAGTCAAAATGTTATATTCACTGCCGATGAGGACAAGTCTGAAGAAATTGACTGGGGACAGTATTTGAAAGAAGGGTTGGAAGACTTTTTTTGCAATTATGAAAGTGACAGTGATAATGTGAGTATTTTATTGTGCAATATTTATCGTTTTACAAATTTTATGTTTTATGAAACTTTTAAATTAAAGATTTATTAAAGATGATATTATAGCACTGCAAATTCTTACATTTAAATTCAATAAATCAATCAAAAGTTTAACGTTTAAATTTTAAATTGTTGCTTGTTTTCATGAAAAGTATTTCTTAAAAGTTTTTCTTAAAACTATATTATAAGATTTATTGAAGTCTAGCGATCATATTAATTAAAAAAAGTTTAAAATATCCTAAACGATCATCTACTTTCTTGCTATTGATAAAAAATATATTTATAAATTTTAGAATTGGTCTGATGATGAAAATAACGGTCAGTTAGATGCGTCGTTAAACAATTATCAAAAACCATGTACAACTGATAAAAATCCAGTAACTTTAGATATAAATAAAATTAAGTCCTCACCTATAAAAACATTAAAAAGTTTACCACTAGAAATATTATCAAAAAATTGGTTAAAAACCAATGTTCAGAATACTTGGTGGAATAACTTGGACTCGCATCATTATGAAGTTGAAAGTCAATTCGAGGCGGCTCATCTTTACAAACTCTGGAGAAGCAATGTCGTAATGAGCAGTAAAATTCTAGGGACAGTCAGTGAATATCAAGCGTGTAGAGAACTTTTATGGATGTTTTATACTCCATCCACAATGGCTTTGTTTCAGGGGGGACATGAGACTGAAACTTCTGTACAGGATGTATCGATACCAAGTTTAACAACGGTAAGCTATTATAGTTTAAGAAAATTAAAAACCTTAATAATTATAAAATAAAATTTTGTTTTATTGGATCAATTATTACTTTACGACTAACAGGAGTTAGAAATTATTTATTATAAATATATATATATATATATATATATATATAATGTGATATTTAACTTAACAATTTAGGTAGCTTGTAAAAGTATGCTACTCTCTTATTGTCAATATATTTCAATGATGAGAGAAATGGAAAATTTTCTTGAAAAATTGTTCAAATCAAACGACCCATCTAGTCAAAAGCGTAAGCCCCCGTTGACTTATGAAGCATATGCGGTGGCTTTGCAACAAGAACTCTTAAATATAAAGACAGAAATTGTTGAATTTGAAATGAAAACTATGAAACAAGGTAAATATGTTTTCTTTCCTTTGCTTCATTTTCATTAAGATACTTTTAATTGCTGACAATTCATCAACGTCTTGTAGAAGATCAAAATACATTTCTCTCCATTTCAAGAACGCTTAAAAGCCTGTTGGATAGAATGAAAATGGTTTTTGAAATTCATAAAGCCATTGACATCAATTGGGAAGACTCGACTAATTGGGAATGCGCTTCCAAATTACTGTCAAGCCTATATTTCAAAATGCAAAACTCGAGTAACTGTGAAACTATCAAATTATGTGTTAGATTATATTTAGCTAGTATATCAGCATATCTCAACATTGTTGATGTTTGGTTAAGCGAAGGGAGACTAGAAGATTGGAGAGAAGAATTTATTATTTATAGATGTAACGAGTATGTTAAAAGATATATTTATTTAATTAATTGATTTATTTATATAACTTAAAATACTATCTTAAATAATCCATCTTAATAATTATTAACTTAAACGTTGAGTCAATGTAATTCATACGTTAAGAAACTAAATTAATTTCTATAAATTTTTTAACATATGTTTATAGCTTCGATGAAAGAATGATTAATCATCTATTTTAAGAAATATAATAATAATAATTTTACAATCAAACCTTTACGATAATGTAATTATTAATTTCATCATCAATGTAATAATAATAAGTAATAAGTTATATATATATATATATATATACATATATATGCATATAATAATAAGTTTTGACGTAATAATAAATTATTTATAGAAATGGAGAAAACAGTACGCGAGAAGATAGTAGTCCTTTGGAAGGATTTGCTTGCAGAGAGCTTAGTTCAATATGCTTGGAAGATCCAATTATGAAAGTTTTACTGCACAAAGTTTATCATATGGGTCGAAGCGTAGAGCTTCTTGTTACTTTAGATCGTATTTCCGATTTGTGGTACATGATGGATCAAGAGAAAGGTAATTTGCTATTTAAAATTTTTTATTTTGATCCATTTACAATTACAATAGCTAAATATTTGCCAAAGGATGCAATATTTGTCATTAAAAATTAATCCATCTGAATTTAGAATAACTATGCATTTGTCAACGTTAAACATAAATCTTATGCTAATTATAATTTAATTTTCGAATCTTCGAGTGATTTAGAATAGAATTCCATATAATGATAAAACGCAATTATAAAAATGTTAATTTTTTTAATTAATTTCATCTTTTTAATTCATTGCACAGTTATAGCTATACAATATGCAGTAAGACATTATTTCATAAATAGCCGTGAGATAAAAATGTAGTCAGGATATTGTTTTAAAAAGTTCTGTCTATAGTAATTCTACTGCATATATATATATGTGTGTGTGTGTGTGTGTGTGTGTGTGTGCGTGCGTGCGTGCGTGCGTGCGTGCGTGTGTGTGCGATAAAAAGTTTTACTATAAAATTATATCTTATTTTTTAAAGCTTTTACATTGTAGATTTTAGATTTTATTACATAGATTGTAATTATGTTATGACAAAAAGTATTAAATATTACAGTTTTAATGAAATCATTGAATGAAGAATGCCTGAAGAAAATTTTATCCGAATGTTCCAAATATGACCACTCCAGCTTCACCAACGACCTGACCGATTCAGTTCCATTAAGTATAATTGAAATTTCGGTACCGCATTTGCATGATGCTGACGTAGAGCAGAATATTATGCAACAGGTTACAAACACAAATAATCCGTTTCTTATGAAAGCATTAGAAAACTTCATTCTGCCAGAAAGTCGAAATTCGGATAGTATCGACGGCACAAGTACCAGCTCGCATAAATCGGTAAAATGGACAAAAGATGCTCAGGATGATAAGTTATTCGAGTTTTTGACAATGTCAGAGATGGTTTTGCCATGGAAAAAAATCTTTGAGTATGCAATCTCAAAAGTTCTAGATTTTAAATTTAGTGGAGCTAGTAAATTAGTAAAAGATATTTTAATGAGAGAATATAAATTAGAAGTACAATTGAAATTGATGAGATCAGTTTATATGATGGAAACTAGTCATGTTATGAATAAATTTTGCAAAATTTTTTTCACTAAGGTAAATTTTTGTACAATTCTTTGCCAAATCTATTAAAAAATATATGGATGAGCAAAGTATGATATTTATCATATATTCAATGACGTAATATTGTTTATTATGTAATTATTAAAATAATTTATCGATATAAAACAAGATTGTGATAATATATTTTTTTGTATAAAGTTTCGTAATTGATATATCGTTGTTATATTTTATAATAATTACAAATGTAATTTTTAGATCGAATCTAATGTTATGTGGAACAATTCTCACTTCGTTTCATGTTTATTAGAAGAAGTATTGTCTCAAGAGTGGCCAGATTCCACTTCACGATGGTCGATTGCAATTACAAATATTAGAACCACAAAAGTTCTCGAAGCTGTTAATAGTGTAACATTGAACTATGCTGCTGGTTGGCCAATAAATATGCTTTTGAATGAAGAAACTTTAGAAAAGTACAATAAAATTTTTAGATTTGAACTTAAACTTAAATGGGCTCTATGGACACTTAATACGCTACGATTCAGTGGTAAATTAACAATTGCCAATATTCGTTTTTATAGAATATACATAAGCAAATGTAGATAAATGACGGAAAAATTAAATTAAAATTCATTATTAATATGTGTGTGTGTGTGTGTGTGTGTGTATATATATATATATATATATACATATTGTTTAAATAAATGTCAATATATGAATTATATATCAAATTTTCATTTTATTTAGATTTGGAAGCTATAAATGAGTCAAGAGTTCCAGATATTATCCAACATTTTCATATCAGAAGGCTTGAAAGCTTGAGGTTCTGGCTCCTTCATGCTATCGGATCCATACATGCGTATTTATCGGGACAGGTTTTACAGGGTTTAGGCACAACGTTAGAAAAAGCTCTTATTGAAGCTGATAACTTGGAAGCTATAGTGTCATGTATGAAGTTTTTATTTTATCGATAAGTAATGAGGAAATGCCAAAGAAGAAGAAAGTTTGTTTCTTCATTTTAACAAATATAAAAAATAAAAAATAAATATAAAATATTTACACTTTTCACATGTGATGTTACAATAAGATTAATAGAATCGAATATTTGAGAATAATAATCAAATTTGCATTATTAATTGGCTAAAATTCCTATAATTACAAATTAATTTTATGACGTAATATCAATTCACTGCGAATATTAAATTTCAGATTTAAAAAGAATAATTTTTTTTTTTTATTCTTACAAGTTAAATTAAATTTACGTGCTTATAAAACGCTAAAATGGAAGTGCGCATTTTTAATTTAAACATTTTACTTAAAATTTAACTATAATAATAATAATAATTACAGACTTTTGTATTTTTTTTTTTTTTTTTTTTTTTTTTTTTTTACAAATAATAATAAGCAAATATAATTAATAATAATAATAATATAATCGTTGTTTAAATTTTTTGTTTACGCAGTTCACAGTGACTATTTAGATAATGTACACGAGCATTGCCTGCAAACAGAAAAGTTTGAAGATTTAATTCATACTATATACAAGGTACTTTTAACATTACACATTTCATTAATTAATTATTGATAATTATTTTTATAAAACTTTTATATTAAAATCAATTTTCATTTTACGAGGTTTTCATATAAACGATTTATAGATAAATAAGAACTTTTAATCAATATACACTGTTAGGCAGTGCATAATACGAGATCGGATGCTCTCACTAAAATCAAAAGCATCGATGAGTTTGTCATATGAGAAATAAAAATTATGATTCGTTAATACCGTCTTTATTCAATATTCGTTTTGTTCAAAAATTCATAAACAAATTCTTTCACTCGTGTGAAATTAAACTGACCCAATTCAAAAACTCATTGAAAAAAAAAAAAAAAAATTTCAAAGTCTGAAAATATGGCGCGATATTTGTTAATAAGCGAATTCACAATTATGAGACGCGTTACTTATATTATGAAAACACGGTAGAGCGGTTTTAAATTGATTAAAATTGACCACTAAGATTTTTATCAACATAAATGCTTTTCTATTTTAACCAACAATGTTTTGCCAGCTGTTGGAAATGTGCGAAAAGATTCGTGACAAATGGAAACCGGAATCGCTGATATTTATTGGCAAGATCCTCGATCAATTCGAAAACGATTATGTCAAGTATCATACGTTTTTGGCCTTGGGATTACACAACGCCGTGCAACATAAGGATGCTGATTACCGTAAGTTAACATTTCATCGTAAATTCCAACATCGCATTTTCAGTTGGAGTATACGCAAATTAATTTAATTAAATGCATTTATAGAAGAATAAGGAAGGGAAGGAGGAACTTATTATTTTACTAATTATGTACTTGATTTTGCTAATAACCAAGCTCCAACAATTTCTCTTTTTTCTTTCACGTATAAATTATTTTTTTTATTTTTATTAATATAGAGTCATATTTAGATACTAAAGTAAACGACAACCATCAACATCAATATAAGATAAAATAAAAATAAAAATGCTTTTATTAAATTAAATATTCTATAAAAATAAAGATAAAATGTCAATTCTTGTCAATCCTTTATTGTGTAATTAATATTTAAGTTTTTAAGTTTTCATAATTAACTTAATATTAAACATGTTGATATTTAATTTAGTTAAAAACTAAATCGTTGAAATTATATTTTTCTAAATACATTGAAATATAAATTACAGATTATCTTTAAAACATTTTATTTATTTTTTTTTTTGTTCTTTTTTTTTAACTTTAATTATTTAACTAATTTTTTTTTTCTTTTATTATCTTATTTGCAGTGACCGGTTTGAGCTCTGCCTTTAATTGCAGTATGCCGTCGACGTAATGTAGCAATATACAAACACATTCGAAAAACAAAAAAAAACAACAATGAATAGCTTATTAATAGAATATTAAATTTTTCATTACTAATGAGAATTCCATTAGATATGGTGAAAGAAAATCTCGCCGATATATACTTTTATTTTTAATTCGAGCTCTCTAATTTGTAAACGTATTTCAATGATTTATTGTCTCTCTATTGTTTACAATATTAATTGTTTAAAAAAAAGAAAGAAAAAAAGCTCGCAGTTAGGCCAACATGTATTTATCAATAATTATGTGTTATGAAAAAATAATAGTTAATAATACGTTTGCAAATATATGTTTGTAGAATAAATAGAATTTGTTGCCAGAATATTTCATTAAGAGAATGGACATATACTTTACTCATTTCCTTTAATGATATTTGAAAAATTTACTACACTTAATTTCATTTTTAAATATTCAATAATAAATCAATTACCTCGCTGATTCTTCCATATATTTGTTAAGATCCCGTCATCCTATACTAAAAAATAAACAAACAAACAAACAAACAAACAAACAAACAAACAAACAAAATCCTATTAATAATAAAACAAAGCGTATCTATTGATTTATAATTATCTTCCTACTCCGAATTCTTTCTCCCCTTTTCCAGATAAACTCCTGATTCCCAGCATTCCAGCTTTTGAGAGAAAATTTTACTCGATAAAAGACCATATAACTGATCTCGGGCGGAATATTTTAAACGAAATTGCCTACCAGAGTTTACCACCGTCCGGTATATCTGCAAAATTTCCGAGATATGGTTTTCAACTCGGACAGGCGCAGAATTGGTATAAACGTGGATTAAGCGCATGTGAATGTCCTTTTGTCCTAACATTACTATTGTATTATTTTGTTGTCATCTGATAATTTTGTGATTCAAGCAAAATGACATTGAAATCTAACTTCACTTTCAAGCTCTATTTATTAGTGTTTAAAATATATTATCCTATTAGCTCATTAAATTACTAAGTTTTTAAATCTTTTGATAAATTTTTATATCTTAACGTTTATCCAATTTAATTTTACGAATATATAATGTTTATGAAATCCTATTAAATAAAATGGATTATGAAAATTTTGTCTAATTATGTAAATTATGAATATATATATATATATATATATATATATATATATATATGTATGCATGTATGTATGTATTAAATAGGTGAATTTTAAATTAATTTAATTGGATATACGCCAATAAATATATTCAATATGTAAATTCATATATTGATAAAAGTAGAAAAAGTAATATTGTCATACATGATTCAATATAATACATGAAGAGTATTTATAAATATCAGGATAATTGTTTATATAAATATAAATAAATAAATATATATATATATATATATATATATATGCTAACGATATACCTAAATGTATTTTGAAATATTCATGAAAAAAATATATTTAATGATTATTTTATATTTTTAAAATAAACAATATATAAGCATCAATAAAATTCTGTATTAGAAAATATAAATGCCAAAGTCCACTTCATAATCGTAAAATGTAAACCATTTCTATAACTACAATATTATATTAAATAATATTAAAATGTGTGTGTTTTATTATTATTATTATTATTTATTTATTTATTTATTTATTTCACACTATTGGTATTAAATAAAAAGATTATAGTAAAATGTCGATATAATGATAAAAAATTATAAGGTGTAAAATTAAAAATAAAATTTATTATTGCAATGAAATTATTAATACCACACTTTTACAATAGTTTTTTTCATACTTAAATAAAATCTTTCAATTTTTAACTCTTTTAATCCAATATTATTTCAGTCTTGATCTACAATTGCTGAGAATGCCGAAAGAATATGAGCGATTTTTTGCACATTTACGTTGGATTGGTCGAAGAGAATTGCAAAATAAATTTAATTTCCCTTCGTCAATTGTGAATAAAATTTTATCCAAGATGATTAGAGAATCGAAATTTCAAAAGAACAAGAACGATTTGTGAAGCAAAAAGTAGCGAAGAACATATTTTAAAATATATGGCAGCACGACACACTATATTACCGTATATACAATTCTTTCAAATTTCATATTAGTTACAACTTTTGCCATTGCAATTAGTATTCCTATACATATATAGTGTGTGTATCATATATATATATATATATATATATATATATATATATATGATACACATCGCATTTATTATTATACTTTATATATCTTTAGGACAAAAATATTTTAACAATGTGCTGAACGGGCTTTATTCTCACATGTAATACGCAGTTGAATTATAACTGAAAAATGTTCTAAAAAGTAACTTAATGATTTTAATCATTTATATATATATATATATATAGCTCTTTTGAAATGATGGATCCATGGTAAATCGCGAAACCTTATATCGATAATAATTGATCATTTTCGAGTCTTAGATTTATAAAATGGGTCGCAAAATTTTGTTTTCGCTAACTTAAGCAATGCTACACAGAAATATGATTGATTCTGATATGTACAAGTTTTTTACGATTCTTTAATCACTATCGTAATTATGATTATCGAAATTTATTTTACTTTGGAAGTATTTGAGCTTTTATATTTCACTTATGTACATGAGCAAAAATTACAATTATGAAGAAAAAAAAATCAAATTTATAATATAATTAGTGATAAAATCGATTGTAATTCGACCAACATCAACAACGAAACTACTACAAAGTAACCCTGAATTTTTATAAATAAAAAAAATGCACGCACACATACACGCACACAAAGAGGCGCGCGCCCACACACTCCCACACGTTGAATTATCAGCTATTACAGAGTGAGCTATCAATTGAAAATAATCTATCCTCGTAAATGAACGGCATTATCGCACAATTTTACAGTGCTTTCGGCCGAGCTTAACACAAACTCCAAACAATTTCCCAAAAGTATAATATTCACTTGACCGTTGAAGTCGTCACACTTGCCTCATTGTATTTCGCGCCACTTCTCGATGCAAAACTGATACAAAAAACCAGTTTATCATGCCCGCGTTTCTCAAAACGTCTCTCTACCTAAAAAATTATGCTTGGCGAGCTCAATAGCACTATCGCAGCCTACATTAGGTTAGCTTTGCGCTAGTACAATCGTCCCGTTCTGGGCGAGGGTGCCACTAGGGCCAGCGACCGCCTGCGTCGTTATCAGGGACTGCGCTGCGCTCGCGCTCACACTCACACTCCCCGGTCCCTTATCCACGAGGCTGTTGCTCACGGGTGAGGCCGAGTGGTTGTTGGTGCTAATGCCCGGGTTTGTGCTGTTGCTCGTCGCCGCAGCCAGGGCTTTGTTACGTAGCTCGAAGACCTGTTGAATCGCATTGCGGAAGCACAGAAAATTGTAGTCGATCACACCTAAAAACAAATAAGAAAGTCTGGCGTTTTACGAGAGTTTTAATGCTGCTTTGCTTACTTTAACGCGAGGATTTATAATTATTATGTCTGTTTAACTAATGGGTCTTATTGGAAACTGCATGATTTACGAAATCGACAATGGGTGACAGAGAGTGCGTCCGACAGACATTAACATTCTAATAATAAACAAGAAATAAAAATTTACTCTTATTCATTTATAATGACTTATTGTTGTTTCAACGTTCATGAGCGTTGCATATTTGGAAAATTATCGAATAATATGCCGCAGTCGTTATTTCGACTAATTATGAAATATCGGCTTTTCAATTCTACTTTATGAAAGGAACATTTTACAAAATACGAAACAAAGTTGAGCTCTTATTAAAAGTTTAGCTTTTAATGCAGATGATAGATGCTTGGATTTACCTTGCCTATCAAAATTATCCTCTCTTAAAATGCAGACAAGAGCAAGGAATTTGTTTACTTCTCTTAAATACAAAATTGTTCCATTATTCAATTTAATTAAACTCGAACTTTGGCTATCGAATGCTGCTGCTTCTACCTCTTCTCGTAATCTGAAAAAAAAAGCACACACACATCACAATCAAATTCATGTTAAATAAAAACAATATTTGTTTATCCTTAAATTGTGATAAATTTTTTCATTTTACCAACAGCGTAAAAGTAAATGGCAAAATTATTACAAATAAATAACAAAAAGTGGATATAAGATCGTTGAGTAAAAAGTTTTTACGCTTGCCAAATAATAAGTAATTAATTTAAGAAATGACATTTATCACTTGACGAATTTTTTCTTACTTTCTTACTACCAATTCAACATAGATTCGATAAGAATAATCTCAAATTGAGTAAAAGGAATCGCTTACCCGTATATACATGAGACGTCGATTACGACATCAATCATATCACAGCAAAGTTCATAACTTTGCATATCAACAGGCGAACTGTCGGTCGCAATATATATTTTTGAAACAACGTCGAAAAGAAAGGCCTTCTCTATTGCCGAGTTCTGGGAAAAATTAATACAAGATAACATTATGTTGATTGTATAATTTTAAATTAATTTAAATGAATGAAGTGATATTGAACTTACAGAGATAAGTATATTCAGTAAATTTTCCAAGGTCGGTAACTGGGGTATTAACTTTTGTACAACTTTACTAAATGCTTCGAATATACTGTGATCGTAAATCGATGTCAAGTGAAAGCTCAAATGTATTTGATCGCAACCTTGAAAATACGTGTATTAGGAATAATTACAATTACAATTAATTTAATAACAATAATAATAATAGTATTTTGCGTGAATAAAATTTTTGCATCACAAAGTATTTATACAGAGATTTACCGTGCCTGACAATTAATGAAATATTAATGCCATGGATTATACGCACAATAAATATATATATATATATATATATATATATATATATATTTATTGTGCGTATAATCCATGGCATTAATATTTCATTAATTGTCATATTAACAAATTTCTTTGTCTGTATTAACAAATCATTAAATCTAATGCTTCGTTAATGATAAATGTGGTTATTTATCGACCTTTTAAAATTTTACATACCAGAGTCAATCAAATCATCATTCGCTCGAGTATGTATGTCTCTTTGTGTTTCCATTTTGTAATCATCTGATAATCCATCGACTTTATGTATAAAAACTTCAAATTTTATAGCTTGATTAACTTTATATGCTTTTGTAACTGTCAAATGCAGTTTATTGAGAGCCTCCATGTAATCATCTTGTGCGTCGATAACAAAAACCAAGGCACCGCAGCCACCAAAAATCATGTCACTGTCAAATGTGGGATCAAAGAAGTCTATCTGCCCAGGGAAATCCCAAATTTGAAATTGTACAAAACTTGAATTACATATGTCATCCTTAATAATTTTGTTTGTACTTTCCAAAAAAAGTGTTTCGTTTGGTGACATTTTGTGAAAGACCACCTTTTGTATCGATGATTTCCCACTTCTAGTTATATGAGAAATAACGAAAATTTTAATTCTTATCCAAATGACATTTAATTCTAAGATTGATACTTTCTCGATCAAGTTTCTACACTTCAACTATACTATCATAAATCGAACTAACTATATAATATTTTATATTTTATGTCTACGTACCGTCTTAGACCCATTAACAATATTCTAGGCTTTTGATCTCCTGTCATGGGACCCGCAGAACCATCGCCATCACCATCAAATGGCGTATACCCAAAATCTTTTGGAAAGGAGCCCACATCGTAACCAGACTGATACTGATCATCATCATCCTAAGATAAATAATTATTATAAGTAAATTATTGTTCGATTATTATTATAAATTTGGCAAGTAAATTAAAAATTAAGAAGGTAAAGGTTTATTAAATTAAATTATTATTGAGAAAAATAGATTAAGATAAATTATATCTTTGCTTATTCTTCTTATCCTTTTTTTATTTTTGGATTTTTAATAACATGAATATCATTTCAAGAAATACATTATATTTCACTTATTATCAATACTATTCATATATATATATATATATATATATATATATATATATATATATATATATATTTATATATCTCTTATTATCTATACTATATATATATATATATATATATATATATATATATATATATATATATATATATATATATGATGGTAATATTATATTCTTCAGTAATTACAATATTCTCTGTAAATAAGAAAAAAAAATCTATATTTTCATAAACTATTAAAGCCTATTGGTAATCAAATGATATTATATTGTCGAATATCTTAATAAATATTCAAAAATCACAAAACACTTGTGATCAAATTCATAAAATTTAAGAAGACCTTAACTTTAAGAAGAATTTAATTTTACAAATAATCCTTACAACAAATGCACATATTTATTCTGTTATTTTAGATATTTATTTAAAACAAATTTTAACATGCCAAAATAAATTTTAATTTCAAATTCAATTACAATTATCTAGTAATTTTTATCTTTATTGATATAAAAATTGAGATTAAAGATAAAAATTATATTTTTAACAGTAAAATAATTTTCCCAATAACAATATACTCTAACGGTATTACATATTTAGAATATAATAATTTTATTATATTATCTAAAGTCATAAATCCACAAAAGCGATAACAGAAATAAAACCACATTGAACAAAATTTTGTATTTTATCTTGTATTCTTCTTATGGAACATAAATACTAAAAATAGATAAACGAAAAAATAAATAAATAAAACTTTATCATTATACCACTTAGCTTATTTATCAAAGATTTTCTACAATTCTATTTACAAGCTTGATATGAACAATTAATTAAACAAAATCATTACTATTTTAATAATTAGATATTTCTATGAAGATTTTACATTTTTAAATAAATATTACATATCTATGTTTTATTTATTCATTCGTATTTCATGCTTTCACATACTTATGAAATCATGATGGAATTTTCTGAGAATAATATTACATCAACAACCAAATTTTAAAAGGAATTCGTGTATTATGTATAAATCAAGTCATTGGATAAATATAATTATGGGCCTATTGTACTTGGCATTGACTTTATCAAATCTGTTTGCAGGTAATGTAATGTCCAAACTAAGGTTACGTTAATAGCTAATGAACACAATTGCGCATAATAACACGTCGATAATAAACTCGGATAATAAATTTTCTCATTATCTCAATCTTATCAACAACAACAAAACAATTACGATGAATAAAAATAGCACTTGGCAAATAACTTGGTTAAAATAATATAACAGTACCGAGTAAATTGACAGAGTGGAAACGTCTGTTGTGTTGTGTTGTGTCATGACGTATGCGCGCGCGCGTGCCTCTGTGTATGTGAAAAACAGAGATGCATGGACGAGGTTAGGGATGAATTCGCTAGTCGCAAAGTGCGCTTAATAAATAAAACTGACCATTTCTCTAACTGACAGTTTCTCCTCCAGCGATTAGTCGACGTTTGCCTAGCTGACGCTTCTGGTTGACGCGCAGGAAAAATGTGCTCGCCCACTCCTCGACGATGGCTTTGTTGTTGCGCAATTACACTGCACGATAATATCGTGCGATCGGGCACGGGACGCACTCAGCGATAATTCGCGCTCGGATCAATCGTGTCGATGGATCACGAGTTAAGAGCGAATTCGCGCTCGATAATCGCATTTGTTTACGTTCGAATCGCGTTGTCGTTGCCGTTGCCGCCCTCGTCCTGTCCTGTCTGTCAATCGCACTAATCGTATGGGGTCGCGGGACTGTTGTTCCTTAGGCATGCGTACATGACATATACGTACTGTTCATGTGTCAAATGCGTGTGTGCAGCCAGCGCGTTCTAGTTTGCATGCTCTCTCTCTCTCTCTCTCTCTCTCTCTCTCTCTCTCTATCCATCCATCGCTGGCACACAATATCGTACGTTACTACACGTACTTATTCACGTACGCACGCGCGCACGTGCAAACACACACACACACACACACACACACAATCCCTTCCTCTATAAATGACTGCCTCTTTGACATTATTAAGAGCTGAGGGGCGTGATATTTAAGGTGGTGATCACGAGTGAGTGAGTGAGTAAGGCGATACGTAGGCTCACGCAAATCACGGGAGTTAAGATTTTGAAGGCGCGCGGAGGATTTTGCCACATGAAACTTTCATTATCCGTGTGGAAGAGTTTCTTCGCCGATAGAGCGCGAGATACATTATATTTTTGTCGCGCGATACCATTAATGAGCAAAAAAGTCCTCGATACTTGTGTGTCGAATTACGCTTGGACTCGGTCCGAATTTGCTCTCTTAATGTTATAATTTTAAAACTCCGATGCCCAATTAATTATTGCCTCTCTCGCAATATTTGCACAACAATTTCACAACACAAACTTTTTAATTTTCTTTCTTCATTTCTTAATTGCTCATTGCCATTGTATAAGTATCGTCGATAAAATTCTTATCAGCTCCCCATAGATCCTTCGTAAATCATCTTTAACCAAATTACGTTATTTAAAGTATTTATAAAAATTTATATAAAGCATTCGTAAAATTTTTAAGATTTATAAGATTCTTTGTCGCTCAACCTACAGTCCTATTATAGATTTGCAATTACTCATATTTGTTACTTATTTATTTAAAAATTGATCCTCGTTCATTTAGTGCTGCTATTAAATACTGGTAAAACTATACTCAGGATATTGTTAATTATAGGTGTATAAATAGTTAATAATAATAATAATTAAGAAACATTATTTTAATTGGCCTAGGCTTTATCAAAACAGTCATTTTAAATATATTTTCACGACAATGTGATTGGTACATCTTAGGAATGACACATTAAACATGGCTGCTGACGAAATTAGAAATGATTTTGAATAAAATCTATTTTTACGATAAAGTGCATGTTTAAATTAATTTTTAGACTTTTTACGTATTTTAGATTTACACATGTAACAGGTTAAATAATGATTATTATTTGGACAAGCCGATTTCTTATAATAATATTTCAATTAACGATAAAAAAAAATATGCCTAATGAATATAATTAATTGTGTAGACAATTTTTAGAAGAAAAATTGTTAATATGCATTTTAATGAGAATATTTTCCAACTAATTATTCAACTAATTATTAAAAAAAGGAACTTTTCGTTTTATACGATAAATATCTGCTTTCGGGAAAGAAATTTTTCTTCTTACAAAATAGAGACTTCGGTTTGAAACGATGATTTTTCATCCGATAAGATAAAATCTTATTTGGGGAAAAAAAAGGCATTTTGAAGGTAAAATTATAATTTTCAAATAAAACATTGTTTTATCAAAATTATTGTTTTATAATTAAAAACTAACGCGATTATTATATAAGTATTAATGTTGAAATTTTCAATTTGTGTTAAACTATTATGGGAGGTATTTCTCAAACGGCAAATCCATTATGCGATTACGCTACTCTAAAATTGCCGAAAAACTATATATTTAATCTGTAATGTGCATAAAGACTTGTTATTTTTCCAACTAAAATCAACCTTAGGATAAATCACTACGTACATAAGAATTTTTAAAACCTTTAAATGCAAATTTTTGTTCCAAAATAATAACAACAACAACAACAACAATAATAATAGTAATAATAATAAATCGATTGGAAATACACATTTACAAATTTATCCTTATCGATGAGCTGAAAAGCTTTGGAAAAGCTTTACTTTTGAAATTCAATTATTTAATTATAAGAAAAAATTTTCTCCATAGATATTGAAATGCTTTGGATTTTCCATTAGATATGAAAAACTAAATATAAAACATATATGCCCATAGGGTCCCATATTAAAATATCTAATCACTATTGAGAAATATACCTTCAAAGATCTTTAATTCCCCTTGTATAATGTACTTTATTTACTTTTATGTCAACATAATCAAAAAATCAGTATATTTTAAATACTTGCGAGTAGTAGTATCCTCCCTGAAATCCTGTTCAACGGTAATTCAATTTCAATGCTTTCGCTAAATGTTTCAACTATGCTCATTTTTTACGTGAAATTTTAATAAAACGGTATATTTCAATTCGCGTATACCACATTTACGATAATTTGCAATAAAAAAAAAAAAAAAAAAAAAAAAAAAAAAAATTAATCTAAAGACAATTCGTGACGCCGTTGTGTTTAAGGAAGAAATGTATAAGAGAAGAAACGGATATATTGCAATTTTTAATGTAAATGGACTTAAGATTTGCAACAACTTAAAAACAACTTTCCATTTTCGGTATTTTTCGGTATTTCTTCTTTTTTTATCTTTTTTTCTTTTTTCTTTTTTTTTTTTTTTTTTTTTTTTTTTTTTTTTTTTTTTTTTTTTAATTTTTTTTTGTCTTTAATCAAAACATTATTTAAAAATGATTTCATTTACAATTATATTTGTTTTCTTTTGTGTGTTTTAATTGTTTTAATAGCCCCTAAGATGTTTTATCCTTCGAATAGGACATAATGCACACGTATTTACCAGCGATCTTAGCATTACGGACCATCACATTAGCTTTGATTCTTAAAATACGTAAAAAAATTATTTCTTACACAAAGTGTATATAAATACCGAACGCGATTCCAATCGCAGCGAAGAGTATTTCGTATTAATAGGAAAATTGAAGGGACGATTAATTAAAGCAGCATCCTGAAATTTGACATAAAAAAAAATAAAAAGAACCCGTCGATAGGTCAAAGGCATCTTTCTTCCAACGAGTGCGAATAATAATCTTCATGCAAATGGTACTTCTTGCAACTCTTATCCTCTTATATTCCCATTGCAACGTACGTTCTGCAGTGCAAATGAGAAGTGGGCGGATACTGCTGTAGTCATGGAAATTCATAACCGGTATGCCTGGATTGGATTCTCAGGCATATGTAAATAGATTTGGAGGAAGAGTTGCTATCGACTTCTGATATCCTGATATAAGCGAGTCCCATATAAAGCAGAGCTACACCTCGGTATCTCGATGCAAGGACGAACGAAGAACCAACGGCTTATTATATTTAAATGCACTTGGAATTACACATTTTATTGCGCTTGTTTCGGATATTCATAATGAATTATGATTGCTGGCACCGTTAATAATATTAATTATACATAAATGCGTATGACATGATATATATATATATATATATATATATATATATATGCAAATGCATATTAATAGATGGATAATAATAATTAACGCAGCAAATTTATGAATAAAATTGCACTCGTTTATGAAAATTATCGATATTGATTAACAAATGCAAGAAAATGTCAGAAAAGGCATTGTTGTGCAAATTCATTATTGTAATTTCCAAGCGAATCAAGTTTTTCTTATACTTTATTAGCTGTATTTAAAGGATATAATTAATTTCGACGGAAATTATTCACAGTGATTGACCGTGATTAGTCGAGGATCAAGAAAGGAGGATGTGTTTCGTGATGATGAGTTTCTTCAAATTTATCAAAATACAAATTATCCAAATTGCTAATAGCGCGAAATTAATAATATGTCTGTTTATAGGATTTAATGTGACAAATTTGTATAATGTTGCAACTTTCGATTATGTCGGAATTTGTAATAGTCGAGCATATGCATAATAAATTATAATTATAAATAAACTCCCGACCCATTTTTTTTTTTCGTTTTTTTCTTCTTCTTTTTTTTTTCTTTTTTTTTTTATTTGAAACATCAATTTCTTTATAAGTGTTAATCAATGTGACAATTCGACTGTTGTCTTGAATGCTTGAAACAATTAGGCCGTTTATTTGTAATTTTCTCATTTTCGCATACAAATCAATCAATTAATTCATTTCATTTTTCATTTCTTTATATATATATATATATATATATATATGTATTTTAGAAAAAAACCTTGTTTAACTGTCATTGATGAGATATCGAATATCGGTATAAACGATATAACGTTGTCTATAGAATATAATAATATATCGTCGCCTTAGAGACGCGTCTTTAATCCGTAATTAAGGATAGAAATGAATTTAACAAGAGGCATATTTCATTTTTCTTCGAAACGTAAGCGCAAAATTACTTGGCAATGCATTACCCGCCCTCTGCCGGCCACTCGTGAGGCTACGCTATGAACATACAATCTATCTTATCAATTATGATTTTGACATTCATTTGACAGGAAATGGAAATGACTTTTTGACAGATCGGCGAAGCTTCTTTTATTGAAAGTATTGCAAGGCGCCTTTATTGGTAGCATTGCATAGCAATAGCAATAGCAATACATAGAAAGCATATGGTTATTACTATTCAACCGTGTCTATCGCATATTGCAACGATTAGACAAAATCTCATGAGGATTTATGAAATTGGTGAACCGAAATTAGTCTTATTAATTCTGCTTTGCTCGCATCGTTACAAAGTTGTATTGCACAAGTAGCGCTGAATCGATATTTTTAATTTCTAAATGCAAATTGTGCCTCAATTATATAGTGCTGTCGCAATTATCTACGACGTATTATTATTATTGTATTATTGATAAAATGACGAGGAGTGAAAAAGTGAAAGAAGCAGAAAGTTTAATCACTCGACTCTCTCGTACGAAAAAGTTAAATGCCTCAAATTTGACATTTGAATATCAAATATGTCGAGGCGTAGCAGCTTCTATTCACTTGGCGATGCCACACCCACGCACGCACATTCTAATAAAAACTAACAAATAAATGTGCAAAGAAGGCAGTGTGCATGATAAACGCAACGAGTGTCCGATGTAAATTTTATGCCGTAGCGTAGCCTTAATCTATCGGAAATCAGTGAAGAGAGAACGAATTGCGCATCTTGTCACTCTCGTTGTCGATGCGCGCCGCATTCTAAACGTCAATGCTGGTAAAAGAAGAAGAAATTAGCCGGCTTATCGGGGAATTCGAATGTTAAAAGTAACGATTCGTAAATTGGGACACGAGTGCGTGCACCCATCCGGTATTATCATCTTTAAATGCATCTCTCGATGTTGGACAAAAATATTGTCCAATCAAAGCAAAACCACGTTACCGCCATTTTTTAGGTCAAAGTAGAGTTGGCAGGTAATGTGACGGTGCTTTACGCTAAAGTCAAGCTTCAAGTCCAGAATCCAAGGTTTGTTCGTCAGTTGATTTCGCGCTGAGGAGCGCAAAGGTTCATTCTGTTGTCGGTGTGGTGTGCGCGCGTGTGTACATAAACTACCCCTATTTGTAAAAAAAAAAAAAAAAGAAAAAAATTTATAAAATCTTACACGCACACGTACATGTATATATAATTATATCGAACAATACATACATATAAATATACGCAGATACACACACACATTTTAAACGGAACGCCAATACAAAGACATAAATATATATATATATAGATATATAGATATCTATATAAAGGCATACGCACGTAGGCACGCATACACACACGCACACACATACGCGCGCATATATATATATATATATATATAAATTGATACCTATATACGTATACGTATAACACAAACACACACACACACACACACACGCACATATATATATATATATATATATATATATATATATATGTATATATATATGCATATATAAATATACAGCCAGCCTCGAGTATTCACAATGTCAGAAATGTCAAACTCAAAATTCAAAAATGTGACTCATTGCATCTTCGACATGGATGGACTATTGATAGGTGAGAATTTACGTGGAGAATGACAGACGATAGAGGCGAATTCGTTGCAAATTCCGTGCGAATTCACATTAAACACAACCCCGCGCATTTTCGCTTTGTGGTATCTTTTAGAGGGTAAATTATTGGAAAGTCAGCATGCAAAAAAGAAACGGTGGATGTGACTTTTCAGAAAGAAAGAGAGAGAGAGAGAGAGAGAGAGAGAGAATGGATATATGTGCTATCTCTTTTTAAGGTCATGGACAAAAAGGCCTGTGTTTTTTTCTTTTTCTTTTTTTCTTTTTGTTCATAACAAATGATACGTTCATATGAAAACTATAAATAAGAAATTTTATTTAAAAAATGTTACTCAGTATTAAGTAGCTAATTAGTTTAAATATGCTATACCTTGGTAATCTAATCTGATTAAACATTATCTATGCTCTACAGTTTCAATTACTTTCGATTATTTTTATTTCTTAGATATGCTTGTCCTCGAGATCTATATATCTTCTTTAAAAAAAAAAAAAAGAAAAATCCTATATTACATTTGTACATATTTCTGAAATTATTACCTTAATTATTATGAAATATCTTAATTTTAGTTAATATTTTAGTTAGCTTTTTTATTCTTTTCTTTTATCTTTTATTTATTTTTATTTTTTTATATATCTCCTTAAGACTATATACGATATTTAAATTTTATTTAACGTAAAAAAAACTAAAATAAAACAAATTAATGTATCTTTATATACAAAATTATGTAATATAATAATAATAATAATAATAATAATAATAATATATATATATATATATATATATATATATATATATATAAATAAATAAAAATCTAGTCGATACGAAAGCTAACCTTCAAATTAACTTATGTACTACAAAATTTATCCGTAATAATATAAATTGCATGTGAAATGAATAGTTTACAAATAATAATGCGAGAATTTACTCAAATTTCTCTTAATAACTTTATTTTAAAATCCACGAATATAGAGATTAAAGAGGCAAATTCATTTTTGCGGTAAATTACTGAGGTGAACAAAAACAAAAAAAAAAAAAAAAAACGATGAATTAAACCTTTAATGTATTGTAAAAAAAAAAAAGAGATAACATATATTATCCATTATTTTGCCTCGCACTGAAAAGTTTGTAAGTTGCCTTAAGATTGTCAATTGTTTTGTGCAAAAGCATGGATATTTTTAAAGAAATTACATTGATGAGAAAATTTTCGCTCCATTTTAACCAAGCTTTTATTCACTTGTTATTGTCATTTTATTCTGATTTGATTTAATTTCCTTCTTTATGCAATGCTTAGTAAACTTTATTTTATGCAATATTGGTAATGAAACTATCTATTATGATATCAATCGCCGATGTGCATAGGAGCTTTTGGATTATGGCGGTAAAGACAAATAACCATTCGTTCGTGCTTATACGAATAATTTAAATGTCGTCTCTCGCAAACATAGTTGCGTATTCAAGAAAAACGAATTTTTATTAAAAAGAAATAATATCTAGTGAATAATGTGTGTATTCGAATTTGAAACGGTATACATCACACTTTGCTTAGATAGTTTATGTTCCTTGTTGGTTTAGCCTTGAAACTAAATACCCGCACGTGCCTATGCACATTCACGCCCACTCGCGCACATGCACAAACGCATTGTAAAATAGGAACTCTCAATACTATGTTACTGTTACTTAATTGTTAAATTATTAAAATCATTGGCTATATAATTGGCTGTATAATCATAGTCGATGAAAATAAAGAGTACGAGGAAGATGAAAATAATGAAATTTTGATATGTAATTATAATTTCAAAATTTTAAACCGCTTACAGGAAATTAATTGTTTTATTTAAATCGTTGAAAGTTCATATTTTAATAAAAAATCATCGTCCATAGTTAATATCGTCATAATATTAGTTTAAATATATTCAGTTAATTATAACATGGCTTTATTCTTTAATTCAATAACTTTCAATGATCATTCGCTGCTTTGTTTTTTTATCTTTTCACCTAAATATTTTTATCCCTTGTGCATTTCTTTTCGTTCTATTAGACAGTTTTTAAGTAATAGTATAATGTAGCAATAATGCGTAATTATATTGAAAATATAAATTACATTGAATAAATAAGTATACTAACAAAATGAGCCATTCATTCTCTCATTGAATAATCTTTGTGAAAAATGTTTTTTCACAGAGTTTAAGGCAACCATTTGTTTAAATGATTATGTTTTCACTTAACTATTATTTCTCTTTCAATATACGCAAAATATGCTTAAATTTAGTTATATTTCAACAGAAATTGTTCCTATATATTATTATTGTATCTATTATTATTATTGCTTGTAATTATCAAATTTGTTACTTTCCGATTTTGTTAAATCATAAATTAAACATAATTTAATTATATCTGTTTAATTCGAGAGAATTAATTATCTAATTTTTAATAAATATCTTGTTTATAACATATAAATGAACATATAATGCATTTAAATGCACGTTCATTATCAACTCTAATTTTTAAATTCAGAATTACAATATATTAAAAATAAAAAATATTTCCATTAATATTTAGCCAAAAGTATTACGAACTTAACTTAAATAATATTCACCTTTAAATGATTTCAATGATTTAAATTGAACTGCTTTGCAGATAACAAAGTTTTTTCATTATAATTTAATAATAAATTATATCGTTAGTATATTCTCATTTATTTTCTGTACAATAAATTATGTTATTTAAGTTAAATCAATTTTTGTAAGAAATTGAATTATTAAACAAAATTCTTGTCGTTAATTTAATATTTTATTTCAATGAAATTTAACTATTTTAATACATAATGTTGATGGTAATGATTGAACAATTTGTGTTTGAATTTATTAAATTATATTCATAATTAAAGAGAGAAAAAAAGAAGAATTAAAAAATTAATGAATTTTTGCTTATATAAAAAAAATGGAAGTCCTTAGTATTAACATAAACATTTTAATAAATATTTCCAATTTAGAAGTTAAACGTTTTGCATTTAAATTATTTAAATATATAACTTTTAGTTATATATTTAGTTTCTTCTAATTTTTATTTGAATCGGCTTATTATTGTTGTTGTTGTTGTTGTTGTTGTTGTTATTATTATTAGGCAATAATTCAAAAATTAAATAAATTAACGTTAATATTTATTATTGAATTTTGTTAAATGAGCCTTTTAATTATTCTGATGGCAATGTAAAAATTAGTTTGTAAAGTATAATCTTATATTATAAATTAAATAACAAATCAACACAATGAGTTTATCTTTTCGTTAGTTTCCATTTAAATTATATTTATTTGTGTTTTTTTTTTTTTTTTTCCATTATTATTATTATTTATTTAGAATACTCGAAGGATAAAGAATCTTTAACATTATAATCGCCATATTTATACAATTTTTTTGCAATTGTAGAAATTACATATCAGTTAATTAAGGAAGTTAAATTAAAAACTTTTGCGTTACAGAAATATTCTCATATCTATTGATATTATATTTTCAAGGCTAACCTTTCATATGGACTGTCAATGTTGCCTTAATTTTACAGATACAGAACTATTATATACTACAGTTATTAATCGTATTCTTTGTCCTTATGGCAATGAGTTTACGTGGGCAAATAAGGCTACTACTATGGGATTTCATACGAGTGAGCTTGTGCGTTACCTAATAGAGACTTTTAAGTTACCACTGCAGCCACAGGAATTAACAGACCAGCTGATAGTTGGCTATGCTGATGTGTTCCCAAGCTCTAAGCTTTTACCAGGTGACTTTGATATTTCCCATCTTTTAATATTGTTTTTTTCGCTTATACCCTACAGATTCAGAAACAATATACAAGAAAATTTATGGTACTATCTGTGAGAAATATGGCTATACTTATGAGGGAGATCTGACTTTTCAAGTGCTCGGAAGACCTGAGCAAGTTGGGGCCGAACTTATTATAAACCATTACAAACTGCCAATGAGTGTCAATGATTTTCAGCATATTTACCACAAGCTACAAATCGAATATTTTATTGACGTAAAACTGATGCCAGGTTAAGAAGTTTTATTTGCTTCCAAAAGCTGCAGCTTCATTATTTTTGTTTTGCAGATTTTTATGCTCACGTCATCACAAGTATCTTATTTCTAACATATTTCTTAAACAGAGAGCATGCAATCAGAAACATGTTCCTCGATAAAACTATATCCAGTATGAGTTCATGATTTAATTTATACAAATTATATTATTTCTCTCATACCATTTTTAAAACAAAGTTTTATTTATATTTAAACATGGAATTTTTCATCAATCATGTTATTAAATCAATGATACTTTATGCATGTCACCTTATCCAAAGTTACAAAAGAAAAAGAACTTTTAATTTTAATTGTACATAATTTAATATAAATTAATATTACAAAATATGAAGACGAATTATAACATTTTTCTTTCTAATTACCAATTTACGTAAAAAGAAAAATATCCAAAAATCGGCTCATTAATAAGACTGGCAAAACTGTATCAATTCATCGAAAATGATTTTTTCAATTATACATGCGTATGTTCACATGTTTGTGTATGTGTATCTAATCAACAAAATTAACATAAATTTTCTGCTATTTTTCATTATGAACTAAGTAACAACTTATTTACAATATATTAATAGTTGAAAGTAATTTAAGTAATTAATTTTTATATGCAGTTGAGTAAATTGTCCGTTATTTAACATTAAGCTTATATGTAATATCTACCAGAATTGGATAATTGATAAAAACAATGTTCCACCTTTCGATGTAAATATTTCATAAATTTTGTGAGAAATTTATGCGAAGTATAAGTCAATGAGAAATCAGCAAATGTTCTTTTTATTTTCAAAAGACATCTTAAAAAAGAATAATTTTATAAAATATTTAAATTATATATATAATTACTAATGATAAATTATGTCATTTATGCAGTATGTAATATATGTCGTTACAATTCCATACAATAAAATTAAAATTATTATCTAAAAATATAATTTTAATTTTAACGATTTCACATTTCATGAGAATATAACGAATAAAGAAAAAAAAAAAAAACTACATTAGCAAGAAATAAAGTGCCTAAATTGGCTTCGATCATCGTCCGTTAATTACACATTCAAAGTTTCATGGCACTCGCATTCATGTAATTTAATGATATATGAAATAAATAACACGTAACTAATTGTGTGTGAATAGGTGTTGAAACTCTTCTACATCATTTATGTAAACACAACATTCCTATTGCATTGGCCACGAGTTCCAGCGCCGATAGTTTTGCATTAAAAACCAAACATTTAACGAAGATCTTTGATCTATTTCACCACAAAGTGCTTGGAGGTTCTGATCCCGATGTTAAACAAGGAAAACCGAGTCCTGATATATTTTTGGTAGCTGCAAAAAGATTTTCAGATACACCTGATCCGCTTAAGGTTCGCAAACTTACGAAGGTTAAAATTCTTATGTATAAAAAAAATATATAATATTTAATATCTTTCTTACAGTGCCTTGTTTTTGAAGACGCACCAAACGGCGTTCAAGCTGGAATAAGTGCAATGGTACCTGACAAAAATTTACCAAAAAAGTTTACCGAACAAGCGACATTGGTGATCAATAACCTGAATGAATTTAAACCAGAAAATTTTGGTTTACCTAAATACGATTAGTAAGGATTGTAAAATAATTTGAAAATTTTAAAATAAACGTTTTTTAAACAAAAAAATAATACCTCAATTAGAATATTGATAACATTCATTAGCTATAAAGGAGCTATTTTATTTGTAAACTTAATAAATTATAATACATATTTAATTAATGACTATGTAACAAATTCAAGAAGCTGTGTGTTGTTTAAGGTGTTGAACAATGTCATCTGCATTGAGATTGGCTAGCGGAATACACGTTTCTTTGCCACATCCTGTAAATGTTCATTAATAAAATTTGATATATTGTTTTTAGCATTTTTGGTGATATAATTCATAATGTTATATACCAGCACGAATATAAAGCCTCGGTTCCGTATCTGAACATTCTCGAATTAAAATTGGTAGGGTAGGATTTACTTTTTTTAAACTGACATAATTTTGTTCGATAAACTGTCTGTGGAAAATGCAATATATTTAAATAATCTTAAAATTAACCTATAAATATGATAATGTAAAAGGATAAATTGATATAGCTAAATAAACGTGATGAATTTCACTTTAAATTATTAATGAAAATGTCTTAATTTACCTTGCACCTGCACTAGCTTCTGATGTTTGACATAATAAGATACGCAATTCTTTAAATTTAGAACTTAATTTAAATGCAGCCATTTTCGTAAAAATATTTTCTATGTCAAGAATATTTTTTACACTAAAAATAGTGCAAATGGCCAAACCCAACATAATTATAACTAAACGATCAGCTATTATTTTGAAATTTGTTCCTATTATTTTTATTTAATTTAAAAATATAATAAATGTATAAAAAGAAAAAATTCTTTTGTTTCTCATTTGATATTTGTAGCGCGAAATTTGAATACGTAAAGTCAAAATTTTTAATTGACAATCGAATCAAGTTTATCAAGATGGACGCTTAACTATATTTTATAAGCAAAATTTTCAGTTAATAATGTATTTCGACAATGAAATTTAAAAATAACCTTGTTCATTTCTTTCAAGTCCAAGTTGTATTATAAAATTAAAAATTACATAATAAAAATGAGCATACCGCAACCGCAAAATCTTAGTATTTACTGAAATTAAAATTAAAAAAAAAAAAAAAAAAAAAAAAAAAAAAATTATGTCTCTTCCACCATTATTTGGCAATAATTTTCCCAATTATTATAAAGAATACTATTGTAATGTTGAAGTATACTGGTATCAGGCAGAATTCACACAAAGTTTATACCCACCTGGACAAGAAAGTAAGTTATTGATAACCACGATATAATTCCTACATAACTTGTGCATTTCTGTAAAATCTAAATTCATGTAATAAGACTAGACATTTTGCTATTTCGGCCGAAATGTGATAAACCAAATTTTTGTTTAAAATCAAATGATTTAAATTTAGAATAACATTATAAAATTTCTATTATATAAATAATTTACATAACACACACACGTATATATATATATATATATATATATATCAATCGTTATTTATATAGTTAGTGAAGCATGTACATTAATCTGTTTGCTGGTGGCCCAACGAATTAGTCAATTAAATCTTCGATTCATCAACGTTAATTCTAATTTGGAATTTAATATTATAATGGCAGAAGCGATAATAGAGGGCAATAAAATACATTCGCATATTGTTAAGAACAATCTTGTTCCACATCCATATTTGAACACGGAAGAGGCATTGAAATTTGGCGGAAAGAATCTTAATAAGCTGAGAGAATGGGTATTTAGATCAAGAATTAATGCTTTACAGATAATTATTAAATTTCCATATCTATTGAGAAATTATCAAAAACAAAAAAAAAAAAAACAAAAAAAAAAACAAAAACAAAAAAAACAAAACAAAACAAAACAAAAAAAAAACTATTTTCATCGCAATTACAAATAGAACAAATATTTCTTTTTAGAAATTTCAAATATTTCGCGAACATCTCGACACGAGCTTGCATAACAATATAAAAATCTTTTTATACGAATGGTATAAAAATCCTGTATCGGATAATTTATATATGCTTTTGATAACTTGTGGTAGAACAATACTTTTTATATTTCAACAGCAAACGGAAAAGGTATGATTAATTATTCGTTAAACTCTACTAATACGATTGGACATCTCAAATCATAAATTACGGTATTACATTTCAATAGGTCATCTTGTTTGATTCTCACGCACACAATAGCGCAAGGAATTCAAATAGGGGTCTAGTAGTGGCGCAAGTACGTTTGACATTTAGCTCGTTAACAACAGCTTATGCACTTATGCATTATCTTGATCGATAATTCACTTTTTTTATGCATTTTATACGAGTAGAATAATACTTTCACTAATCGGTATAAAGAACATTGCTTCTTTTATTTTATTTTATTTATTTATTTATTTATTTTAGATGTTTCGATTTTTTATATTTGAAAATTTGTATCTAAATGGTAGCGGGAGGGGCGGGGAGGGAGGGTAGGAGGGGGGGGGGATGCCTTTTAAAAATAAACGGGATTTCCAATGTATAAACTGAAGGTAAAAATGTAAAATTTTTTTTTTTTTTTAATCACTTATTTTACCATTACATACTAATAGGAAAACAACGTATTTCAATGTACGCTTATATAAAACATAATCAAAAGGCACGAAAGTACTGTTCCCATTCATATAACAATTCATATTACTTACAGTCATCAATTACCAAATTAAATTTTTTATCTAAAGGGGGGGGGGGGGGGGGGGGGGGGAGGGGAGGGGGGGGGGGGGATGCCTTTTAAAAATAAACGGGATTTCCAATGTATAAACTGAAGGTAAAAATGTAAAATTTTTTTTTTTTTTTAATCACTTATTTTACCATTACATACTAATAGGAAAACAACGTATTTCAATGTACGCTTATATAAAACATAATCAAAAGGCACGAAAGTACTGTTCCCATTCATATAACAATTCATATTACTTACAGTCATCAATTACCAAATTAAACGAATTATGTAATTGGTACATAAGAAACGTCATTCATAATTGTTATTCATTGGATGCCGATCAATATGAATTAGCTTGTTTGTATTATGAAGAACCACATAAATCAAGTAATTGTTGGGAGTGCAGGTGTAGTACACCTTTAATGAATTACAAATAATTAGGTGAACGAATAATTTAAATAAGCAAAAAATTGAAACATGATATTTGCATTCTGTAATCTTTTAATAGCGAAAAACAAAAAAAAACAAAAAAAAAAACAACAAAAAAAATTGCAAATTATTCATTGTTCCGATTAAATATCAAGCTTAATATCTTCAGCAGTTATAATAATTTTTTTATAGACATTTTTTAAAATGTATAAAGAAGAATATCATTTTCACTAAGGCATAACATTTTTTTTTTAATACTTTAAGGAAATTAAAATTGAAAAAGCATATTTATATAACGTTTGATATTTTACTATAAAAGTTGATATTTATACGATAAATATATGAATTTTGCAGATAAAAATGTAAATAATTGATGAAATAATTAACACCATGTATCTTTGAAATGTAGTACTTTATTAGAACCAGTTATACTGAACTATTTCTTTCAGATTAATGTAACGACACGTTTATTTACATTATTTACAATGTTCTTACTTAACGGTTTTAAAAACCTTATTCATACTAAAAACAATGCTGAAACAAAATCCATTGCAAGAAAAATCTTTTACACTTGAATAAAAATTTGTTTCAGCATTATCACTCGTGACAAACGTTACTTCTTAACTCCATTTACCTTGTGATAAGTACCTTAAGTTCTCTAAACTTAAACTAGAGCAGTTTTTGTAATTTTTTCAATTTACTGTTTTCTAAACAATATATTAAATGGAATTTTGCACTTAATTATATTAAAATTAACGCCGAATCAAGCAGCAATTGCTTTCAATTTCTTTTTCTTTTTCTTTTTCTCTGTTGTTTTTTTCATTTTTCCATTTTTTTTTTTCTCTTCTTTTGCATAGCTAAATACAAGAATAATCGGTGATTTTTAAAATCATTGTAATTACGTTACATCAATCATAGCTCGTTTTATTTCGGGCTTCATTTAGTATACAAAATTTAATTTAACAAGAACTAGTTATAATTTTCATTTGATATGGACATGTTATACATTATAAATTACTCCCAGCAAATTGTTATTCGTACACAAAAAATTATATCTTACAGATTAAGCCTACAAATGCAAAGCTAAAAGGAAAACTTGGTTTTTTCATCTCCTTAAAAACGTTTTTTTTAATCACAGCCTGTGTGCATGTTTGCTGTATGCTGTAGTGACGCAAGATTGAAATTTCACAATCCATAAATTAATTTTATGAAAATAAGCTCGCTTATCATTATAAAAATTAAACATAAAATTAGTTTAAGGGATTTTGCAGTGGCGTTCAATAATAAATTTATTGATTTTCCTTTAATTGCAAATTATTTGAATAATTGTTTTTCTTTGTTGTTGTTGTTGTTGTTGTTGTTGTTGTTGTTGTTGTCGTCGTTGTTTTTTCTTTTAACACTATAAATTTATCTTTACTATTAAAATATTTAAAAGTAATGAGAATTCATTAGAGCTGTAAATTACAGTGAGTAATTTTTGTAATATTAAATTATAAGGTATATGGTAACGAGCTAATTATTGTCGAATTTTTAAAATATTACAATTTAAAAAATAAAAAATTTACAGTCCTATGTGTGAAAAAGCTACTTTTAAATAAAAAATTTTTTTTTTTTTTTTTATCAAACAATGTATATACGTGAAGTAAATCAAAGAAATACTAATTATTCATGTAAGAATAAATAAGAGAACAGAACTACTACAACATTCGCCAAAATTATAATTCAAGTAAAATACAAATCTTGAATTCTCATTACAAAAGTATTTATTTTACGTTGATGATATTTTTCTTTCAATAAAGGAGTAATTTTCTTACTCGATACTGCAAAACAAATAAGTAATTTCCTTTTCTTTGTAGCTGTTGTAATTTCAAGCATAACAGCATTAAGTAGTAGTTACCAATGAAACATTTGTCTCAAAGTATTAAACCTTTCGCAGGTATTTCTTTCTCTTTTATACAAGGTTGCACAAAATTCATTCAGTATTTTTGGTAAATTATTTTTTTTTTTCTTTTCTTATAACAAGAAATTTATACCGCTTGCTATCTACATGTAAATCGACTCTCGTAAAGTTTTTTTTTTTTTTCATTGTTGAGAAATGCTAAAACGAATTCATCAATAATCTCGCGTGCGCGCATTGGCGTATGTTAATAGCGTGCACGTGGAAGTGTTACGAAAACGAAAGTGAAAAATGAGACAGAGTGAGTGAGTGAGAGTGAGAGTGAGAGTGAGAGTGAGAGTGAGAGTGAGCGTGAGAGAGAGAGAGAGTAGAGAGTAGAGAGTAGAGAGTAGAGAGAGAGAATAATATAGCTTTGTGATCTAAGAGATCTTGCTAGTCAAAGAGCAACAATTTTTTTTCTTCTTTTCATTTTACTTGTTTACCGTTTATCATTTTTTCGATCATTTTTGGACTGTCTTATGAAAAAATATTTCATTCGCCAAACAGCGATTAGGATTAGAAAACGAATTTGTCCGATAAATCTTTAATCATTCAGTGGTTAATGGCTCAACTGACAACTGAATAAATAATGATTTTAAATTAAAATTAGCGACTCGACCAATGAGACATTAAAGAGACTGACGAACCAGTGGCTGCGCCCACTCGACAAAATCGTCGATTAGTACGGGCCAGGCACCTTCCTCGTCGTAGTTAGTCATCGATGGGTTTATCACAAGAGCAAAGTCCAAAAGTAAATTCCACGTATCTTTGGGAATTGATCTTTTATGCTGTTCCTGAAAAAAAAATATTTGCAAATCAATTCAATGCTTAAAAACACAATCTCTTACTAAACAAATTATTAAACTTTTCTTAAATTATTCTAACGAATTATAATGTAATATTAATTGATTTAGTTTCCCAATTATTAAAGATAAAAATTTAATTCATTAGTTGGTTATTGTAAATATGAAATAAGATATAAAGTTAATGTCTAAATTAGACGTGAAAAATTATATAAAAATCCATTATGAAATATTACTTAAATTTATAACTTTTAACAGTTATAATTTACTGCATTGCATTCAAACATAATAATAGGCGATGATGTTCAAATATTTTACGAAATTCATTAGAAAATTATTGAATACATTTTGTAAAACTTAATATATTATTCAGAAGTAGTATTTAAGGTAAACAGAATCTGTACAACATAATAAAACTGCACGAGTTAACACTTGCTTTACTAATATAAATATCGTATGTAAGTTAATAGTCAAATAAATCATTGTTGATATTTTAATGACAAAATTTTAATGTCTTCATCTTATTAAGTTTCACTAAAATATTTATACAATAATGTAATGAGAATTAATTCCTACTTTCTTAGATAATTTAATATTATATAGATAGAACAATTCAATGAGTTAAATAGTTTTCTAGGATATGAGGATATCTACAAACATAATAATAAGTAATTGATTTACAATTTACAATTTCTAATTTATATAATATTAATCATAAATAATTTTCTTTCACCAGAAATAATATTACTTATGTTAATATAACAGTTGTTTTAATTAGGCGACTGCTTTGTTTGACAATTGCATAAAAGAAGCTTTTTGAGAGTAAAAGTATTTGACGTTTTTAACTAAAGGGAAATAATTAATTCTCTCTCTTATAATTTTGAAACGTACGTGAAGCTGCATTTGCATGATATTTTTTACTAAATTAATCGATTGAATATAACATACCTGCAAGAACTGGCACCATAATTGTAAAAACTGAAATTTTTCTTTTAACACAATGTTCCAGTAAGCAATAGCCATATCTAAATCAAGTCCTTTTTGCCCAGGATTTTTAGCATAGTTAAATGTAAAATGATAAAAGTCTTTGAATTTTAAGGGATCTCTCAATTCACCTTCTAAACTATTTAATCTTGTTTTAAGTTTATCTATATTATCAGCTCTATAAAATTTTATATAATATTTAATAAGACAATAAACGTTGGCAGAAACTTAGAAGTAATATTACTTAGCAAATGATACATTTTGATATTATTCTTATAAGAGAAGATTGTATTTTAAAAGTCGTTTAATTGAATAAGTTATGTATTCGCTTACCCTAAGTCTGTCATGCCATTCATAAATTCATCCTTAGTGAATTCACATTGCATTTCGGCTCTAAACTTCCAAGCTATAATTAGAACTAATATACTTTCTGGAGTAAGACCTAAATCATCTAGAAATTTCATAATTCCATCTGCTGTAATTTTTTCTGTTTCATTTGGATCTGCAACAATATTTTTTATCGTCACTCAAAATAATGAAATTTAAATATCTTAGTCACTTTAATACTGTATTTATTTAATTCTTTTATCTTGGCTAAAGCATTTTTTTTTTTTTTTTTTTTTTTTTTTTTTTCTTTCTTTCTTTTTTGTAAATAAACAAATAATTTTATGGAATACTACTTTAATCTTTGACAAAATTTTAATTATATTACATAAGCACTCGTTTTTCTTTTTTCTCTTATTATAAATAAAAGCTACGACAGCTTATTAGCTCTCTCATCTTATACTATAATATAACAATAACTAATAAATAATATGTCTGTTTTGTTATCTATATTGTAAGCAATAAAGCTTATAAAAGCTTTAATTCCCCGCGATTGTAGCTACCTTGATATCTATTGTAAAGTATTTCAAGTTTCTTTTTGTCCACAAAATTCTTTGATTCCTTGTAATAAGCTTCAGGATTTTGAAAGAAGTTATCGCTCGCCAAGTCTAGCTTCCAGTCATTCTGTGTCAAGCAATATATGGCAGTTTGCTCCTCCGTTTGCGTAAAAGTTATGAATTTCCTTACTTTATCCCGCTGGGAAAATTTTAACCTATGCTACAAACACAAATACAAATGCTTATCAAAATCAATGCAATATAAGGATAAAAGGACAAGCGTGAGTGATCATAATGAGCGACTTTTTGGTTACAATTTTTCTTCAATGAAATAGTCATTGGTTTTTAAATTAGAAAAAAAATATGGAAACTATAAGAAGCCTTTAGAGGCAAAAATTTTAAGATGACAAATTAATTTTAGCGTACTAAAATTTAGAGGTTATTTAAGGTATAATGAATCACGAGGTTGTAACTTGGTAAGCAAAAAAAAAAAAAAAAAACTCGTAAACGTTGCTTTAGCCAAGATGGATCTGTGTATTTGATTATTATTTATTTAGTTATTTATTTTTTTTATTTATTTATTTATTTTTTTTTTTTTTTTTTTTTTTTTTTTTTTTTTTTTTGCACAGATCCAGAGGTGTAAATAATGCGAAACTTACCATGTTTAAAAAAAGTTTTTCAGGCCCCCGAAAGCCAAAATATTTTTCTCTCACGCTATTGCCATGAATATGCGCATGTCCGCCATCTAACCAACACGCGCACAATTCGCATAACCGCAGTTCACGTACAGAAGAAACACTCGGGAGAATCGTCTTATCGCATATACGGCGAAACGATCAAGGCTTTTAAATTGTCAATCATTTTCAAGTTCAACCTCTCAATTGTTTAATATTAGTTAATTAATAGGTAGAAATTATCTTAGGCATTAAATCCTCTTAAGGCTATCGTTCAACTACAACATCTCCCATTACTTGCCCAATATTCTACTTAAAACCTTTTATATTTTCTTTGTTTTGGATTTTTTTTTAATTTTTTTTTGCCCTTTTCGACTCGATTTTTTGTTTTTTACCGACTGTCCTGCCCCGCGAATAATACTTTCTATCGGTTATACGGTTATATTATACGTGCGTACGCGCAAACACGCTCGCGCGCAATTGCTAAGAGACATTGGCGTATGTGATACGTGCGGGATCATGCGCGCGGTTGCTCGGAGTGCGCCAGTGTGCGTGCGTGCGTGCACGAACGCGCGCATAAATATTCTTAAATTTTTAAATTAAAAATAAATTAGCCGTTAATTTGACGAGTCCCGGATTGATTGGAATGGAATTACGGATGTTAGGCCGCTTGATAAAATTGCGTCGAAATTTTGAGATTTAACTTACGATTTAAATTACAGACGTTATCATTTGAATGGGCAATGCCATTGACGTCTTAGAGCTTTTAAATAACCAACTCGAATTGCATATAATTGGGAGATTAATAATACGAATTGTCAATTGTCTCGACGGGGAAAGCCGCGGATTTTTCACTCGAGACCTAACGAGCCGGATTTTTGCCTCTTCAACGATCTCTTCGATCGCCTACTTCGGAACTCGAGATCGCATTACCCTCGCGGCATCCATCCGTCACTTCTGTTGCAGAAATGTGAAGAGTGAAATTTTTCTTGCAGCATTATTGTGGTGTACCTAAGCTAGTTATAACCTTTAAACAATTTAACTATCGTTCCCCGTTTTTACTTTCCATTTATTATAAAAAGAGAGGAGCAGTAGCATTAGTATACTAAATGAATAAAGTTCTAGAGAATCCTAATCCTAAAATATATCCGAAATTGGAAGAAAAATTAGGAACTGATACAGAATGTGAAAATATAATACGAAATACAAATGAATTTGACGCACGTGGTATTTTTGGTGAGTAACCTCTTCTTATGTAAACGCCATTCGGCATATTATAATATTTATTGATAAGATGCAATAATTGTAGAGCTGTTGCGAAATATAAATGATCCAGAGCATCCATTAACCCTTGAGCAATTAAATGTCATTGAGCAGAATTTAATCGAAGTAGGTATTGATTAAGATATGTATATGATTATACCGTAAGTAAACAAATCGGGCAGTGATTGCATTTTAATTTTTATAAGACATCAACGAGTCAGTTACTTTCCATTCTCCGTATCGTCATTTAGCCGAACATAAGTTTTAAAAAGCAAAAACTTTCTACAAATTATCATTCATCGGTTTTGATAGAGTAACGGAACATATTGAAAACATTATTTTATAAATAAGAAAATTAACCACTTTAAAGCAGGACTCTTTTGTTTGGCATCGTACATTAGGTGGATAATGAAAACAATGAAATCAACGTTAAATTTACACCAACGATACCTCACTGCAGTATGGCCACATTGATTGGCTTGTCTATAAGAACGCAACTATTAAGAACCATTCCAGGGAGATTTAAAGTAAGCGTCACCATTAATCCAGGAACGCATATTGCAGAGATCGCGGTTAACAAACAACTTGCCGACAAAGAGAGAGTTGCCGCTGCACTAGAGAATAAATTTCTTCTTACCGTTATAGACCAATGTCTTGAAAATACTGTACAATCTTAGTATTAATTTTTTTTTAATGTAGAAATTAATTTTAATTATAATTTACTGTATATTTAATGCTAATTTGCTCATTTTTATCATAGGGCTTCATTTATTGATTTATCGATTTAAAATTGTTGGTAATACTTATATACATGTTTACATGACTGTTGTATATTTAATTACAAGCGCCTGTTATTTATTAAAGAGACTATGACAATTTATAAATTTATTAAATTATTTATAATTTAAACAAAAAATAAAACAGTTTATATTTAATTAACTGTTTATATATTCATCTGTCGTTTCCTTTAACATACGCAAGTCTGTGTATTATTTTAAACAAGTTATTATAAAATCAATTAAAAGTCATATATATCTAATTATTTTACCATTAATTTGAATTTTGGTAAACTAATTTGTTAGCAAATTATTTCAATGAATAATAACTAGATTTCTTTTAGTTACTATTAAAAATAAAATTTAACCACTAATTTTGTAGAAATGTTATACGCAAACAATGCATTAGAAGAATATTCCAATATTCTATATAACTCGTTTATTTTATAACGAATTTTATTAAATTTTTGTTCGTCGATGGTTAGAGAAGTTGATTCGATTCTCAATACCAATTATTAAAATATTCGTAATACTATGATTATGTAATTGAATCAGAATGCTTAAAAGAATTTTGAAATAATTATACCAACAAATTAAGGTATATTTGAGCTTGTCCATTAATTGTTTTTTTTTTAAATGTCCAACTATTATTTCAATATTTATAATGCATTTTTTTTTTTTTTTTTTTTTTTTTTTTTTTTTTTTGACAGCCCTATTTAAATGACACTAGAGGTATAATTTGTGCTCCTTGAATTCAAGGAAATTCATTACATCATAGAGTACTTTTTGCATTTAGTACATTCTTACGTCACTTAACGTCATTTTTGTATTCTTGTACGAAAAGAATAATTTTCATTATCAAAATTATGTCCTGATTAAGAAAAGAAGAAAAAAATTGCTTATAAGTTACAAATTAAAAAGTTAAATGAATAAATTTAGGTATTTCAAATATCATAATAATCTCTTGAAAATGTCTATGTTGTTTTAACAAGGAAATAAAAATTACAACGAATAAATCAAAAACTCTTTATATCAGTAACATTTCATACATGGGTATAAATTATGTTATAAATATATGTAATTACATGATTCATATTGAATGTATTTATATGTAACTTATGTATAAAGCTTTCTCCTGTATCACATTGTAATTCACCTGTAACTGCCAAAGGAATCGTTTTTTAAGATTTAGTCTTTAAGATTGTTATATAAATATTATATACTAACTTATCGATACAAAAAATTCTGAAGTGAAATGAAATGTTTGCATTATATGAATGATATTATCACAGAGTATTAAAAAAAAAAAAATGTTAGTGTTTTCTCTTAATCCTTTATACGAATTATAAAACTTGTTGAATCGCAATTGTAAAGCTTATGGTATTGTATGATAATTTCAATTATATATTTGTATTCGTAAATTCAGATATATTCATTATGCTACTTTCGAATATCCTAAACATTTTTACAATATATGCACTTATGTTCTAATTTGATCATTCGGAATAATATAAATGTTATCAAGACAAGAACATGCGCTCGTTATTATGTAAATTTAGATTCGACTACTAATACTTTGGACTGACTTTGCTCTTTGTATCAGTGTTAAAGTGGAACGGACAAAAATTCGTTTAGAATTTTACTAAGTGCCTCCTGAGGGGTAAATAAAACAACATCTATGTTGGATTTTAAAAAATTTTCTACTCCACGAATTTCTGCCCATTAAACGTATCTTCAATAACGAAGGGAGAAAGATTAATTAACAAATGATTATTTCCTTGCGAACAGTTATTGTTGTACATTTAAACGAAAAGAAAAAAAAAATTTGTTCCTACCAAATCCTTTAAAATCTTGGTAATTGAATTACCCCTAAAAATTAAAGTTATATATTAATAAATAAAAAGACAATGTTACACAATTGAAAATTCACTATAGCCTTACATATTTTTCTTTCAAAACTTATAAAATGCAAAAGTACACGTGAATTATATTATATAAGTTACTTATATTGTTACAATTTATAATACAATTATCACAGATACGTAAACTACAAAATACCATATACTATAATTTAAAAAAAAAAAAAAAAAAAAAAAAAAAAAAAAAAAAAACGAGATTTGCGCTTTGTAGAAATAACGACTCTAAATAGAATTCCAATTGAATCATTCATTTTTTAATGAGTCTAAAGTTAACGAACTATCATCGCTTAAATCAAGATGTAGGTCGATATTTCCCATTTTTACGTCGAAGTCGTCTTCTCGATGATTAAGCTTTAAAGTCTCTGAGACATTCTAAAAATTAAAATTAGAGTATTTAATTTACTTTTCAAGCTGTATTATAAAGTTTAAAATTACAAATTATTATTACGAACGACAAATTACATATTCATTGCTTGTTTGTTGTTTATGCGTATGTCTGTATAATATATTATATTGATGTAATCTAATTAAAAAAAAAAAAAAAAAACTTAATATGCATACAAACGAACATTTTCCAATTTAACGAGCACACAAATTTTATATATTTGCCCGATAAATTACTTTAATAATTCAATGAGAATTGTTAATAAAAATCTTATGTTTAAGTGACAAAAAACAAATTAAATCATCAAATCTTGCCTGTATATTATATACTAAAGCATGAAATTCCAAGGCAGAATAGTTTAATTATTTAAGCATTAATTTGAATCTTTGGCATTCAATTTAGAAGCATAAAGCAAACATTAAAGTAAGATTTAAACTTTTTATTAATCACGCGATCTTTTGATATTATAATAGCATACCTTTATGTGATGTTCGTCAACTTTAGCCTTATTATTATCCTTATCAGAAGTACCTAAAACAGTGGGAGTAGTAGTTTTAGAAGAAACTTGTCGTTTGGGGGTTGGCCTTCGTGGTTTAAACGATCCGCAGGCTTTCTTCGGTAACTGTGAAGTCACGTGCTTCTTGGACTCATTTGATTGATCACAGTTATGAGTTAATAATTGATCTTTAGTTTTAAATGCCTAGAAAATCAAATATTTGATTTATCATTTTTTATATGTGCATGCGTATATATATATAAATGGACGCCTTACATGAAAATCTTAATTTTCCCTTAAGAATGAAATAACGAAACCGTAATGAATACGAACCGTAAAAAATAATGAAAAAATGAAAAGATATTAAAAGTAAGTAAAGTAATTTTAGAATCAACATTGTCGTTTATCTATTTTTAAAAAATGTACAAACGGAATAAGATAAATTCATCTTATTTTATTTATATGCACTGTAAATGTATTATAAAACATTTCAGTTAGAAAAAAAAGAAAACTACATAAAGAGCAAACTATTAAGTTATATATTGCAGATATTACTTTTATAATTTCATAAAAATTTCCAAATATGCTCTTATTCATTAATTATACTTCGATATGTACCGCACCATAATAGAAATACTTGAAAAACAAATCCAATGTAATATTACTTAAAACAATCTCAGATAACGTTGCATTGGAGTGACTATTTCATTTTGTTGTTGTTTTTTTGTTGTTTTTTTGTTGTTGTTTTTTGTTGTTTTTTTTGTTTTTTTTTGTTTTTTTTGTTGTTTTTTGTTGTTTTTTTTTTTGTTTTTGTTCAGATTACTTTGCAATAAAACGTAATAATAATGTAAAATTACGATATAAATGTTTGAGGGAGATTGTAATGAATCTTTTAATGTCCGATAGTGGCGTCCCTTCAATACTATTTGTCAATTGAAACTCGAACAATAATAATTAACGTTCAAGGAACGTTGTTCACCTATCAAATTCTAATGGTTAAGTTCCTGTCCGAACGGTTAAACGACAATGTAAAACGATTGTAAGTTTGTCGTCACTGGTTCACTGACAAATTCATACAATATTTCCGTTTGCACATAACGTCATATAAAATCAAAAATTTATTCATAAAATACCATAGACCACGCGCAAATTATATAAATACAATAGTTGTTTAAGAAAAATCTTAGGCACAGCTAAATACCATCGACTCCCCCCACCCCTAAATATAATCACGAGATAATGACATTTGCTTACTATCAATGGGGCGAGTTCATAGAGCTGGCTAATTAAACATTATTCAGAATTATTTAAAAAAAAAAAATTTCGATTTAACCTCTCACACGGCGGGCACGGACAATCCTCGAAACTTCGCCTAACAAAATCAAGGTCGACTCGCCGCCGCCCTGCCCCCCCCCCCCCCCCCCTCCCCAAGCAGCGAGCGCATCATCGAACTCCAAGAGCATAATCCAGCTTAACTGACGGCGTTCATCTCCATTACCCGAAACGCCGCGCAAGACCGATAGGAGATTGTCCGGTCATTACATGCCGATAATCGGCCAAAAGTACAAAGTAACTCACGTGCGAGCAGATGTCGCACTTCAAGCTGTGCTTGTTGAGCTCGTGATGCTTGAGCGCCTGGGCCCGGTGGAAGTGACGGTTGCAGTGGCCGCAGCTGAAGCGCTTGATATTGCTGTGAGTGAGCAAGTGGCGCTTGAGCTTATCGGGCCGGGAGAACTCGCTCATGCAGCCGAGGTGGCCGCGAAAGGGACACTTGAGCCGCTTCGTCAGGTCATGGATGAGCATGTGACGGCCCAGGCGGTCTTTCCTCTTGAATCTCGCGGGGCAGTGCTGGTTAGGAGCCAAAGCAGACTTGGTCACTGTTTGTCCTTTTTCTCAACGTCCGTCTCATACATTACCGAAGGCATCCCGGGACGGAGGTTGATTATTTGCGAACGTTAAGCCACGGTTAACTCGATATACCTTTGCCTTACCCTCTTCTCTAATCGAGCTCTCGAGCTTTAATGGCTATACCCGCGATTTTACTAGATCGGAAAATGAGAAAGAAACCCAATGGGGAGATCTTTGAACGCCCAGCGATTTTATCTGGCACTCTCACCTACTACTCTAATGACTTTTTCTGTGCGTGTGTTTAGGGATGAGGATGTGAAAAAGCGACTTGTATACACTCGCCACTTTTTATCGCTTTTGTCGTTTGTTTTTTTTTCCTTCGGTAAGGATAAAGCAAAATCACCGGAGTTATATGGCGAGCATTTTTAGGGGCACAAAGGTGTCTCAAAAGTATCAAAAAGACAAGATTCTTTAAATAATTTTGTAAAACGACATTTCCACATTATATCCACATTAGGTATTTTCATTTGCTTTGTATATTTAATGTTGGAAAAGTCAATATTACATTCTCGGCGATACCACCCGACGAATTATTTACATTATTTACAAACTAATCACTCGTATATTACAAGTTGTAAATATTTTATCATTTATATGTCTAAAGGAGTATCTGTAATAATCGTCGAACAAAACAAAAAAAAATTTTATTTTTTTTTAATTTGAATTTGTGACCTTGAAAATTATCTTGGAAGCCTTAAAGAAACAATCGCTTAATATATAAAATAATATATATTTTTGAGACACCCGATATGTATCGGCGCACTTTTTGACATTGCCAAGTACATCCGGAAACTTGAATAGGTGTGTGGGTGTACCAAAGCGAAACGCCAATTTCAAATGTCGCTGTCTTTACTATAAAAGCTGCTTGATCTAATCATTCTCAATAGTTGATTCAATAGTTCAAATCAATAGTTGACTATCGATTGCAGCAACACCTTACTGATATTTGATAAAATTTGTACAAATAATTTCCGTCTTCTTATGCTTTTCGATAAAGAGATGCCAAAACTCGCTTTTCCACGCAAATAGAAGGGGGCACACGGATCAGAGAGGATTATAACTGGAATTATTAAAATATTGAGGTCAATTATTACGTTAAAGGGGGTGGAATTGGAGAATAGGGACCAATGTAAATTTGATCTAACATTGACTAGCTAAGAAACTAGACTTTAGACTTGATTACGATTGATTTAATAAGTTGCTATATTAATGAACGATGTGTTTTAAAAATATGCCTATAAATGGCGCTTGACCCGTTTATCCGAAAGTCGTGGACGAAGGCTCACATCGTGTTGCAGGAGGTACCCTTAGGAACACGATTGATTAAACGAGCGATGCTTTAATGAAATAATATGTCCGCGAGCCACGCGTCAAAAATCATTCTTACTGTATTCTTTCTTATTGGCATCGTTGTGCGCTAATTAAAATAAGCATGACATTACGCGTAAGGCAATTAAATAAATAATAAAATACAATTAAACGCGTTTCCTAATGACTTAACGACTCAATGGACTATCTTAGCTTTAGATAATTTAAGAATTAATGTGAGCTATAAAGAAGGCGGGCGGATAATCTTGCGCGTCACTCACGGGGCAGAGGAACGGCGTCTCCTCGCTGTGTATGAGCTTGTGATTGGCGAGGTACTGCTCGGTCTTGAAAGCCTTGCCGCAGTCCTCGCAGGCGAACCTCGCTGACGAGGCGTGGGTCTTGAGGTGCCGCCTGAGGAATCTCTCGATGAGGAAACTCTTGCCGCAGTGGGGACAGGCGTAGTCGTGCGTCGTCGTCTCCGTGTGATGCTGGAGCGCCTCGAGGTTAGAGAAGGACGACTTACAGACCGAGCAGCAATAGTACCTGCGATCACAATTTGGTGAATAACCGAACTGTTCGTCGCACTTTAAACGTTTGCGATCTTACTTGATTATTATTTTTCTAAATCATTCGCGTAAGCTAAGCGCGCGCTTTCAAGCGAAAACGAGCTTTATCTAATACTCGAATGTCTTGTAGTTTTTTTATTTTACACTTGTGTGTCAAAATGAATTCGTTGGTTCGAGCGGGGTGAGGGGGCACAGTAAGTTATATATTTTACTTTTTCAGCAATCGTATTGAATTGTCGTCGAGGCAAAGAATTTCACGACATTACCAAGACTTTAAGACTACTTCTACTTTCAAAGAGCAGAAAATTTAAAAACTATTCTCATATGTCTGTATGAAAGGATAATTATTTCAAGCTTTGTATTCGTAAATTGAATTGGCAACTTTATGAAGATTACTCTTTATGAAGATAAGCGAACGAACGTCTTCATTTGGAAATTAAATCGAAACGACTGCGTTTGTAGTATTATTTATTAGAGATTTTTCACTTAAAATTAATAATCCATCGCTGTGAATATTTCGATGAATTCACTTTGACATTTTTTAATTAGAGATTAGGATCCGAGAGCCAAGTATAGGGAGATAGTAATTACTAGCCCCCCCCCTCCCCCAGTACCAAAGCTTTACCTTTTACCCTTTACCAAAAGCACGCCCCCCCCCCCGGCTTTGGTAAAACGCGTTTGAAAAGTTATTAATTGTTCATTATTCGTTTGCGATTTTAAGAAATGTTTTCGTTAGCTGTTGTCGCTCAGCCAACAGGACGATCAAAGATTCCTGGCGACAAACGAAATTAATACTTAATAACATCTCATACTTCTCGGTCGTCTTTTGCTTTTGGACGGAGTGAGTGTACTGATGGAGTCCGAGGTCGGTTAAGGTGTTGAAGGTGTCGCCGCAAACGTGGCAACGGTACTCGGATCGCTTGTGACTGCGCGTATGCTCGAGGAAGTCCTCGAGTTCGGCGAACATCGAGCCGCATCCGTATTGAACACACTTGTATACTTTGAGAGTCAAGTGCGATACGATAAGGTGACCCTTGAGCGCCTTGTACGAATCGAAAATTTCCTTACAGAATTGGCAGTGGTAAGAGCGTTCGATACTGCCATCGACCGGCGCCTGCAATGTCAACGATAACAATTTAAAGATTTATCGCTTAATTCGATTCCAATCAATGGATTGGGAAGGGAATTTCAAATAGAATGCCAGCACGACTTGACTCGAATGTTCATCTTTAAAGAACAACGGAAATTACACGGTGCGCTTCAATTTAGTAAAAGATTGTAAGGAATTCGATTAAAAAAAAAATTATTCATATTGACAAAGTACCTCTGGAGGTAGTGAATGAATGGCTGTGCCTGGCCATACTTTGTGCGATGACATATGTTTCTTTACATTGGACTTTTGAGCAAATGGACGACCACATACGACGCATTGGTAGGGCTTCTCGCCCGTATGCGAGCGTTCATGTTGTTGCCAATAAAACTTTTTGGCAAATTGCTTATGACAGTAGCTACACTTGTACTGTAATAAATAATATTATGACAAATGTAATTTTAAAGAGAGAATTTTTAATCGAAGAAGTGACATTTATAATAATAATAATAATAATATTAATAAATTCGGAATGCTGAATTTGAAATATTTCTTAATTCTTTAATTTAATAATAATAATGCCAAAAGTTTATCGTATATTCAATTTACCTTTAAGTTTTGCATTTGATAAGTCTTATTTTCATCCTCGTAAGCTTTCGATGAATCTTCGACTTCTGTAATATCAAAATTCATTGTAGGTTGTAGACTACCATCTTCAAGATTTTGGTTAATATCGTTCTCTAATACATTCAAATCATTTACATCATCGCTTAGAGGATTATCATCCGCACCCGTTAACGACGAATTAGCAAAAGGTTCCAATCCGTCGCTATTTAAAATTATAGGGACATTAAAACCAGAATCGGAAGCTAAGTAATTAGCACCTTCCTGCTCCATGCTAGAATAATAGATTGAAATTTTATTTTAAATCACTGACCTAACAATTATCGTACATAAGCATTCAATTCTAAAAATATTCAGTTATAAGTAGGCTTTGATACATTATCGTACTTCAACCTATTACCAGATTGGCACCATATTATAATTAAAAATACTCATTGATTCGCTTACCTAAACAGTATATCGTTTTCTTCCAAAATAATTGATTCACCAAGTTGATGATCCTGATTAAAATCATCTTCAGGATTATAATGCGTTCCATCATGGCAATCATCATCAGTCTGTAATACATGACTATCATTGCTAACTAAATAATGACTTAAATCCACCTTCTGCTCTGGCAGTTTTGTGTGCTCTCTTTTATGAAGTACAAAAAGGTGCAACGAGGTGAATTGACTTTTACACTTGCCACACTGAAAAATATCTTCCTCATCTTGATTTATTGCTGTAATAATAAAAATTTAGCTTTATAAAGAAATCAAAAATAAATAAACTCAATGAAGTCGTGTATAATTTATAAAACATACCCGACTGCTCGACTTCGCTTATCAAAGTTTGAGAATCTAAAAGAGATTGTACAGATGAACCATCCAAAGATACGCCTGAAAAATCATAAAACTTATAATTTCAAAAAATTTTTTAATTTTCATACTTTAAATGAGTTAAAGACATAAAATATTGTAAAGCATATTATACAAGCGTCTACTATTTTAATTTAAAACTTTTCATTAATAATCCAATACTTATACATCTATTGATCAAATAGTGAAGTTTCTACTAAGTACTGAGACACAATGAAATTGTAATTGTTGAATTATTCATTCTTAAAATTATATATTTAATAAAAGAGGCTTATATTTGCTTCCATTCGAGTATTTAGTTAAAATATCTTGATTTTTATTGTAAAAGACAAGTGAATGACGATTAACAGTTTGTTATGGAACAAAATAACCCCTAACGATCACAACAAATACTTTACCCGATAAAGCATCGAAAATTGACTGCGCCATAATTTCATCTATTCGTTATTAGAACTTCATCGTCGTGTATAACTATTAATAAGCAAGCGATATGTTGAAAAGGCCCAATTTACATAAATTGTTAAAAACATTCCGGTAAACGACGTCAACGAAAATATTTTTCGCTACGATGTATTATAGTGACACCGTTGTCAAAACACCAACAAAGGCTGTAAGAATAGAAAAAAATTATAGTTTGAGTAGAGTACATGCGGCGTTGCCAATTCGCATTACGCGGGTAATTTAAAAATCATAACAAAGCTCGCATACATTAAAAATTGTGTTATATGTATATATATATATATATATATATATATATATGTGCGTATGAATGTAGGAGAATGTAATGTTACAAATGCATATACGAATATTTGCGTAAATACATCCGTTTTATTTTATTAAGTGTATCTGCATGTATATATATATATATATATATATATATATATATATATATATATATATATATACATGCAGATACACTTAATAAAATAAAATAAATGACAAATTGATTTACAAATATATCATACACAAAATATGAAAATAATTATTTATAGATCACTTCTAAAAAATATTTCTTATTACGTACATTTAATTTATAAATATACAGTTTTCAAATGTATTATCTAAAGCAAAATTATGCATAAATTATGATTTATAAATATATGCGAATGCATACTTGCACTAGTGTATTATGAGTTCAATTTATGTTAACATAAATAATAATAAATTTATAAGTAAAACGCTATTAACACATAGCTTCATCGTAAAGTTTAGTATGATGTTTATTTTTATTCCTAAATAAATATTAATATGAAATAAATGAATAAATATTGTAATAATGCCACAAGTTATAAATTTCATTTTACTAGTTATAAAAAATGTATATAATGCATGTCATATAAATTAATTTAAAATAGAATTGGTTAAATAAATAATAATGAGGCATATATATATATATATATATATATATATATATGATAAATATGATAAATATGATAAATGTCGTGAGTCGATTTTCAATAAATTCTGTAGTTTTTCAATTATTTTCAAAGGGACAGTATATTATTAATAGTAGAATGAAATTTTTTTTTTTTACTTTTTAAAGTAATTTGGTTAATTTGATGTTGAGATTGATTTTATACCTATTAAAAATAAAAAAATAATAATAAAAATACACAAATCTACTATTAAATAAAATGTTTACTTCCGGAAACATTTTTAGCATATTTTTTTACAAAAATGTGAAAACTTGGGAAAGCCCTAAAGGTTACAAATTGTGGCTGAATCGACGAACGAATATAATGATTTATATATAATAACAATGTAAAGTACTTTGATTTTAATGTCTTTAGATAATATATGATAACAAAATATCTTAATGTTAAAAAAGACCCTTTTATAAGTAATTTTTAACAGCTGATATGAATTGCCATGAACTCAAAATGAATCGATCGTTTATGTTTCATTGTTTTATTTGAACTTTTATAGCAAAGTTTAGATAAAGTATGACTGAGCACTTACATACAATTACTTTTGTATCCCCACATTAATAAAGTATACTATCGATATGCAAATAGATTTTCAGATTAATATTTAAAAGGTCAATAATCACTGCCTTTAAAATTTTTAATTGTTACGAATAAGGAAAGAATTGTTATCAAAACGATAAGATAAAGAAAATTTTATAATTTTAAGTTGGAAGTGCAGATTAATCCTAAAAGCAAATATTCCCAATCGACAAAAGAAAACTAATGTTTCGAAGGTAGAAAGAGTAGGACAGATTTGTTGTGGATTTTAAGACGATCCTCCACGTTAAGAAATACGTTGTAATTATACCCATGAAATTATTTAATGAATAGTGATGACATTGACGAATATTTTCCATAAATTAAGATTTTAAATCAAACATCAATAAAGAGGATAATACTTAAATTGAATCAAACTGTGTTATAATATTTATTTTTACGCTTCCACACCATTCCATAATTTAAAAAAAAAAAAAAAAAAAAAAAAAAAGACAACAACAACAACAACAAACAAAACTTAAACCTAATAATTTCATATCATGATATTCCATTTTTCATATAAAAATCCAAAGAATCTTTCACCATAATAAATTTAATTGACTGTAGAATTTAAATAACACTACACTAATTCCATATATGTACGTTTTCGTTTGAACTCGCATTTAAACGAATGAAAATTATAATTAAAAATAATTCCTTACCAGAAGCTTTCTCAATAATTTTTTGATATTAATGTGTAATGTCTAACGATTGTCGTGTCGGCTTTTCGAATTAACGAGAGATTCGAAAGAACAAATGAAAAATCATCTAAATGCATATACTAATAAAATATTGGATTGTGTAACTTATAAGTAACATGGCCGATGGTGCAAACAAAATTCATATTCGCCGAATTCGAAACTCTATTCGGTTTGTAATGCATTTACATTAATTCACGTATTGTTGATTGATACTCGTCACGATATTCTATAAAGCAAAACAAAACAAATAAAAAATGCTATGAGTAAACCACTAACCGGCAATGATTACATTAAAATTGTCATTGGCAATTAATCATTAATTTATGAATTTCAGGTAAATATATTATTAGCGAGTATATTAATTTTAACGTGGTGTATTCTGAAATTATCGATTCTCATTGTGCCTCGGTGCTTCTATATTATTATTTCAAAAGAATAGAAGAAAAAAAAGAGAAATATATATATATATATATATATATATATATATATATATAGAGAGAGAGAGAGAGAGAGAGAGAGAGAGAATCCAATTAAAGGGAAATTGTACTGCGCAAAATCGAACATTAAGCGCACTGTTGTTGTGTCCAGTTTACAATGATTAAAGATTATTTTGTTCCATTATGTTGAGGTTAAAACGTTCGAACGAGTATTTTATTTATTATCAGATTAAAGTATAACTTTTATAATATGTTTATATTTGAAACATGTAGAATTAGGTCTTTTGAAATGTGGCTCACAAGAATCGATGCAATATTAATTTGATTTATTATTAATAATGTAAAGATGTAAGGAAACATGTAAAGGGTAACTGATCGATGATGAAAAATACAAGATGTTAAAAGTTGTACATACCACGTGCAATTTATGCACGGCTCATTTGCAGACTTCATTTTTTAATATTAGATATAAATCTCAAATATACGAGAGAATTCATTCTTGGAAAATTCAATTGCAACAGGCCAACAAGGCGATTTCTAAGTCATATAAAAAAATTCAAAATAAGAAAATCTATCAGAATAAGGAAATTATTGCCACGCTTTTAAAGGTACCATTTTTTAAAATACATAATTGTTAAAAATTCTAATATTTACTTGCTGTATTGTAGCTTAAATAAACGTATCTTTTAGAAGCATGGTATTGTAACGAGCGTATCGATAAATGAAAAGAAAATATTTAAACAATCTTCATGGACCATAGAAAAAAGGATAATGCTGTTACAAGAGCTTGGAGTTTCCAATATAACGCCTTTTTATATTAACGAGTAAGTGATTTGAAATAATTCCTTAACTTTGAAAATATAGTAACAGGTTCTTATTTATTGCCTATCTGGAATTAATGAAGCGATAGCTTACATTCTGTTGAATCGATATGGTCGAATGAATACAGATAATGCCTAATAAGTTGTTTGTTCTCTTCGAAATTTATAATATAGTTAATGTAGAATAAGATACATACAAGGCTAATGATGAAAAATAATGTTAATTTTTAACGTTTCAGACTCGATAAAGGAATGCGTTTGCCTATTCATTTATTTAAAGCAAATACTTTACTAAATACTAATACTAGATTATCGAAAAATTTACTTAGTTCTATATCAAACACAATGTACACGCATAAATATATATCGGAATCACCAAATATCACGATGAAAAGACTCTATACTAATTGTCTAATTCATTATCTAAGGCGGGAAGAACAATTCAGTTACGATCAATTACGATTTCTGCACATCAAAGCCAAATGGTTAGGATATAATAGTTTTCGATTAATTAAAGAAACAATCAAATTTATAAAAAATGACTTAAAATTTACGAATGCACAGGTAATATATTTGTATATTTAAAAATATAAAAATTTAAAAGAATAATAAGAATAATAATAATAAATTTGTTTTAGATAGCAAAAAATCATTGCTTATTGAATTATCATCCTGAAAAAGTGAAGATTATTTACAATGAAATTTATAAACATTTTAAAGAAAATTCCAATAAAATCATATTAGCACATTCGAAACTTTTAAATATGGAATTATGCGATCTGCAAAAATTTATAAGGGTCCTGCAGAAATATAATATTAAAACCGATAAGATTCAAACGTATCCGTTTATTTTGCAACATAATCATAAAGATTTAGAGCGAAAAATCAAAACAATAATAAACAATCCCTTGACAAAGGTTTATAAGAAACATCCAAGATTTTTAAATTTGGTAACACATTATTTCTCCGTTGTGCCACGACTTCAGTATCTGGAAGATAATAATATACAATTTTTCAACTTAACCGGACTTACGGAAAAAGCTGCTTTCTGTAATCTGTAATGCTTTTAAAATATATAAATTGCTAAACTTAATACACTTACAAAGTTGAAAATTAATTTTAAAATAATATTACAAAGCAAAAATTATTCTGAATTTCCTTTTATTTTTAGGCTAAAGTCTATGAAATATAAGCTGACAAAAAGTTGTTTATTCTATTTTTTAGAAAAAGAATTTAAATATGATACTGGAGCATTAATGGTGATTATACAAAAGCATCCTTATTGGATGTACGTATCGCTAGTACAAATGTACGAATCGCTTCATTATCTACGTCAAAAATTTAGCGATAGCATCATTCGTGATCATATTTATGCCATTCTTTATAAAAAGTAAGATCATTTCTCTGATTTTAATTACTAGTCATTTCAATAAGCTTTTTGTGACTACTAACATGATTACTACTAACATAATCCATTGAAATGAATGAATATAATAATAATTATCAAGTATAAATATCATATTTTGAAGAATATTACATCATAAGTCAATATATATATATATATATATATATATATATATATATTATATATTGAAGAAATAAATATTAATTGCAATTTTGTAATAAATAAATCTATTTGACTATTAGTTAAGTACAATTAAGAAATTAATATCTTTTAATATATTTAGAAAGGACATACAAAGTGAAGTTGAAAGTCGACGACCAGAATACAGAAATTTAAGGAAGAACCAACAATTGGGAGTAATTATATATAACATTGAAAAAAAATGTAATTTTACGGGCGCTGTTGTTTTATCTATAGATAATGATACAAGCTAAAAGCTAATTTACATAATGTACCGGAATAATATGGCTTTTATTATTATTATTTCAATTACATTATTACTAAAATATTATATTAACAAATAGAAAATAAAAATAATTTTTGTTAATTTTTATTAGAATTCTTACATATAAAAAATCACCGGGCAATAAGGTTGAAAATATTTTAATACAACATACATAATAATCACTGCAAGGTACAAATAAACATTTCATAGTGAAGTAAAACAACATTAAAAGAAACTGTGTGTATATATATATAGGCGCCTGTTATAAATATCAGTTGGTATAATATTTTACAATTTAATTACAGTAAAAATATGCCACCATAAAGCAAAATGCTTATATATGTGCGTAAGGATGTCACGAACATCGTGCTTAAGCGAGCGTGTGTGCGTAAGAGGCTGTGAACAAGAATATTCTCATTTGTATTTGTAACTGTACAGAATAAAATTACATGTAGGATAGTGTACATAAATTGCAGATATGATTATTATGAGGACGACTTGGTAGTAAGTTAGATTATGTTTTTAATATCTAACAAACGAGCGTGAAAATTCATCTTAATATGTGAAAAAGATTGAATAAATGAATTATTTTATAGCTAATATCAGTTGCATGCAAATTTACTGTAAAAAAAAAAAACGAAATTTATTAATTTAATTGAGATAAAATCTTAGATGTCTAATTGATATAAAAGCAATTTTAAATATTTCTTAGAAAGTATTATCAAATTATTTTGTAGAGAAATTTTTATGTAATCGAAAGCGGGGACAAACAATTTTCCTCTCTATATTTTTTTGATATTGAAAAGAATGATCAAGATTTTCATGTAAAATTATTTGTTTAATATTCAATGGCACAAATCGATAATAGAAGATATACTTTAATTTATATCAATGTTAATTGATAAATACAATTTATTTTATGTGACCTCTCGAATGTTATTAATGTACATTGATAAGTTTTTGTTAATTCGATCAATTAAATACAAAAGTCAAATTGTTCAATTCTTAGCCTAATAATAAAATATTAAAAAAAAAAAAAAACAAAAACAAAATATCGCTAGTATTTTAGTTTTTAAAACTTTTTAAACTACAAAGTTAATACAATGACCAAAAGAATATACGCATTTTTTTTTTCTTTTTTTATTATGTTTTACATTACTCGATAAGCAATTCAACAAGTTTTATTTTATCGTCTTGTTAATTATTTCTCTTTAAAATCGTGTTTAAATTGCTTAAATGCTTATTATATTATTTACAGTATGTATTAGAAAACATTGTAAAATTTTCTTACAAAAACTGAATTCTTTCCTACTATGTAAAATTAATATCATTACATTAATATTTAAAATATGTAGAGAGTAAAGTTTAAAAAACATACTTTCAATAACAATGGGGTTATGTTTTCTCCTAAGTTTATCTAAGCATTTTAAAATTTACATTGCTAAAATGAAAGCCATATAGTTCAAGGGACAAAGTTGCGTACATTTATTATTATTAATACGTTGTTTCGTAAGACAATCTTAATTGCGTAAGGTGTGACCAATCCTATATTTACCATTAGTTTATTTTATCGACCGAACAATGAATAAACAAATATTTTCGTAATCTTACTCTTGCCAATCGCCACGACTTCTTTATTTATTTATTTATTATTTTATTGATAATTAAGAATGCCTTAAAGTCTCTCTCTCTGCGTGCGTCTGTGCGTGCTTGAGACTCAGCAAAATGAAACATCGGTGAATTTTAATGAACTTTTAGTAGCAAATCAACATATACGTAGAGTTGTATTGATTGTAAAAACACTTGAAAGTGCAAATATTCATTATCGAAATTATTTAGAGACAGGATGACGTACTAATCGATGTGATATGTGAAATTTACGTTCTGCAAAGTCGAGCGATGAGATTTTAACGACAAAGTCGATAATGCTGTCGTCCTATCGGCAAAATTAGGATCGCACACACATCCTCTTAAAAGTAAATTGAAATCATTGACTCGCAGTTTCAATCGTCGAACATTATTTATTTGACTACAGTGAGTAAATATAAATTTTAGTCGTGTACAAATATCCAAGTACTTTGATAATTCCGTAATTAACAACGCAAATTCTCGCCAACTATCATCTAATCCATAAAAATCTCCATGGATATATGGAGCTGAGATACGTAGGGGCGCCAAGCGGACTCTGGTACTTTTTGTTTTCGCACTCTTTCGTCGTCGGGGCTCACACTGTTTGCAATTCCGATTATAACCGCGATTAGAAATAATAATGTGACGGCGATGGGCCGCGGCTCTCAACATTATCTTAATTAAAAAATCATTACATTAAAGACGCAAGATTATGAAGGTCTGGAATTTTAATGTGTACAACGTTATTCAGTCGGTAACAACGATTTGCTGCGCACTCGAAGCCCATTCACAGTCTCGCAGTTGTGTGACTTTTGTCGGTCGCGTGTCGCCAAACTCGGGCTTCCACTTTCGGAAGAAACGGAACAAACGAGGAGAGGGGAAACAAGTAAAAAGACTTTCGTCCCGACTTATTTAACAGTATGGGGAGAAAGTAGTGGCTGGCGATTCAATTGTAAAATCTAGATAGTTTGAACCCGAGGGTTCGTGTCAGTTCAGAAAAGGAGGCAACTGCACGTAATTCTGTTGACTCCCCGGCTCGCTTTTCACCAGCGTCTGATCCTTGAGTGCCTGCCTTGCATTCGTCGGCGAATGCAGCCCGTAATCGTTCTTATGATCCTGGTGCTGCTGTTGCTGCTGTTGCTGCTGTTGTTGTTGTTGTTGTTGCTGCTGTTGCTGCTGCTGCTGCTGCTGCTGCTGCTGCTGCTGCTGCGTGTACTCATTGGCCTCGTGCTGACCATATTTATCCGAAGGACTCAAAGTGCCCACGTAGTCTAATTTCCCCTGCTAAACAGAGGCCCACATACGCATTATTACATCTCTCGAAATACCGGCGAAGTCTTGGGCTGCCTTTAGCCGCAGAGGCTGTACCGACCGAACCCCACCTTCCGCCGACTCCGAATTACTAAGGAAACTCGTTTGTACGCGAAAGCTCTCGACTATCTTTCGCAGCATCTTATTATAGCAGGAGCAAAGGCCCGATAATCGTAATAGACAGTTAAGTAGCGTTTAATGGTAATAGTAATTGAATAGGAATCGCTCGCATCAATAGAGTGGATGAAAAGCTCGCTAATGGAGCCCGAGGGCCGGAAGCCAAGAGTCTCGGGTGCCCGGACTCACCGTATGATGGTCGTCTTCGGCGGTGAGATGCGTCGGCGGCGAGTGCGTCGTGACCATTGTCTGGTAGTCGGCTCTGGATAGATTCGGAGGCGGGCTGTTGCTCGCGTTCATGTAGTCCTGGTGGACGCGCATCGCGTTGCCAGCGGGTGCGGCGAAGAGCGAGGCGTCGTGCTGGGGTAGCATCGTCGCGTAGGAGTAGGCGGCCGCAGCTGCGGAGCCGTTATTCCCCGGCCCGCCAAAGGACGTTGAGTAGGGCGAGTTCGATGGACTGAGTAGATTCAGATGGGGCGCCAGGTCGTAGGCTGGGGAATACGCCCAGGCATCTGGAGGCGCGCTGCCCGTTGTCGACGAGGCGAACGGATTCAGCGAGCTGTTCAGAGTGTTGAAAGAACCTGCACAAATATAATCCACACACACGCGCGCACATAAGAGGGTGAAGTGTTAAAAGAGTTTTTTTTTTAATTTTTTTTTACATCCACCTCCCAAACGGTCTTTTTTAAGTCCTTTCTTAAGTTGCATTTATTATTGATCCATGGCAACATGTAATATGCATTTAAAATTGCGTGAAAATTAATGTTTATTGTGATATAATATTGTTGCTGTTGTTGTTTTAAATTGTCAACGGCAGCCAAATGCGCCGCCGACTTGCAAGACTGTTAATTTCAATAGTGACCGCCATGGGGATGGGGATGGGGATGGGGGGGGGGGGGGGGAA